TTAGTTTGCCTCAACCAAATGTTATGAAACTTATACACAATGCTTATTACTACATAATACAGATTAAGTACGAAATTTGGTGGCAACACTTTTAACATTCTTGAGTTATGTCCCTTTGTAAACATAAAAATTGCTGAATTTTTCGTTTCCGTTCTCTAACTTCCAAATGTTATAAAACTTATACACAACCGTTCTAGAGTTATAATTATTTATTGCGTGTTTACAAATAGAAATTGCTGAAATTTTAGTTTCTGTTCTCTACTTAAGTTAGCCTCAACCAAATGTTATGAGACTTGCACACAATGCTTATTACCACAAAACTAGGATCAAGTTCAAATTTGGGTAGCGTCACTTTTACCACTTCAGTTATGTCCCTTTATAACTATATGATATGCAAGTGGGGGCATCATCTGTGTCCACATGTGGACACTATCCACATTTTTTTTTTTTTACATCTGTACTGCCTACTGGTGACTCAGTTCTGAGTATAAATATTGTCATTCAGTATGTTAAGAAAAAGATTAGAATTTATAAGGCCTATCTGGCCTAATTGATTTCTAAAATATATTTCATTGTACATGTTCAACATTTATCATTCATTTGTTTATTTCTTTATTTGTGTGAATTAATTTACTACACTTTCATACCATAACAAAACTGCATGCCTTACTGTATTGGTATCACTTATATTTGTATCCATATAACAAAAAAACTGAAAAGAGAATACTTTTGCAATAGCTTTTTCATATTGAATACTAAAACTTTTTAGATATTTAGACATATTAAGTAGATGCTCATAATATCCACTTGACATTTTATCATATGACTTCTGTAGTTAGTTATGAGTCTTTGAAGCATGCTCACAAAGGTTCTTTTGTTGATATCATTTTCATACTGGTCAAAACTTTTTTTTTGCTTTGACCAGCTTTGGAGGAGATATTTTCAAAGAATTGATAAAAAATAACACAGAAATTCACTTTCTAGCTCATCTAGCCCCAATCATCATGTCAGGCATTGTCATTACTAAAAAACATTAAATGTCTTTTAAACTGAGAAACAATTTCCACATTTAACTGAAATCTTTTACTTATGATACTGACAATCCCCCACAAAGTAATATAAATAGAACCATACAAATAGTAAGCAAATGCATGTTCTCAGATTCCATCTCCCATATAAAAAAAAATCACATTAAGAAAAAAATGAACCTATTATATGTTCCTCTCCTAGCTTCAAAATGTATCCAAAATCAAAGATGTGGAACATATATATTCTATCATAATCATTTGGTAATTAATGCAATTAGTATCTGTTGAACATAAAAAACTCAATATTACATAAACAACACCCCTAATGCTCATGTTGGTTGTCATTGTGCAACACAGTTAATACATAGAAAACATAAAACATAGAACTCCTTTTGTCATATAATTACAATATACAATATATATATACAATTTAAATCTTAGATAAAAGCGCTAATAATTGTCTTTAATGCAATTAATTAAAACAATCATTACTTTCTCTGCCTAGTTGAATAACTGTTACATGTAACAATAACTTAAGGGAAAACTTGGAACAAACCATTGAACTATAGCAATGTGGTCATAGTCAGGTTGCCTTTGTCAGATATAGATGAGGGTCTGGATTAGTTTTTACAGAATAGGGAATAATGGACAAAAAATGCAGAACAAAGGGCTAAAAATATAAAGAATAGAGAAAAAACAGGCAAAAAAAAAAAAAAAAAAAAGAATAGAGAATAATGGGGTGCTGCAATATAAAGAATAGGGAATAATGGACAAAATTTATACATAATAGAGAAAAATGGCTTAAAATTTAAAGAATTCAGAATTAATAGACCCCCAATCCAGACCCTCATAGATGTGAAGCTTTCGAGACTGAGAAAACAAACAGATGACAATTCTTTCAGGTAAATTAAATTGTCACAGCTAACAAACTAACGCGTTTTTCTGTTTCGACGTTCATGAAGAAAGCTCGAAGTCAATAGATTACCTTGTACAAGCAATTTCTTGAAAGAAAAGTCAAATATGCCTAAGTATGAATCGAAGGAGATCAGGAGCAATTGTCATTGTTGCAGCTAGAAACCAAGAACGCAACTTTACCAAATGAAAAAAAAATAAACGCTATATATAATTGTTGCATTTTAAGCGCTGTACTGGATTAACTTTCATCAATAACGACCGAACCCAAAAATTTGAAAGCAAATGATATATAAATATTGAATGCCCGAGCAGCCAAATGACCACGAAATAAAAAAGAATAGCCTTATCCACCTTAAGTCAACTTTGCCTGCGGAGTTGGAACCTTGGTTTCTTAATAATTTTTAAATTTATCACTGAGAATTTAAGAAAGGTATGTAATCATTTCAGGACAAAAGAACAGATTAATTAGCTGATGATACCTCCGAAAAAGTGATATCAACCCAACACCCAATGCTGTAAATGTAAATAACACTTTATAAAGTTGGTGTGTCCAGCGCGCTTTTCTGGATTTACCTTCACCAGGAACACTCAAACCAAAAAGACAACAGACAATACATGTAAGAATGTAAAATAGAGCTAGTTTTGTCGAGCTTTTCTTGAACAGCGTTGACATAACCATCCCAAATAGATCAAAAATCGAGGTTTTGTAAACATAATCGCTCCGATTTCAACCACATTTAGGCCTAGGTAACATAGATCGCAGGGTTTGTCAAACTAAACATTCAAGTCAGATATGTAATGTCAAAAGATTTTTTTTGTCGACGGATGCGCTGTATGTTGGAGGCTCCAGTGAGACCCCATAAGATCACAAGGTCGCGCTTAAAAATTGCCTCGGGTCACCAGGTCACTTTTAAGCAAATTTGAAAGCAACGGTCATCCATATAAACAGAGTTCTCGAAACCTTTTTTTAGCCGGGTGGTTATTAAAACCACCAAATCTACAAATACGGTGGTCCCAGTGAAAATTACGTGGTCCTGTATTTCCAAAAAAATGTTTGATAACAATTTTTTTGTATACATGTATATATATAAATAAGATTAAGCAAATATATGATTCCATATCAATATTGATATATATATATATACATATATACAATTGTACTCAAGGGCATACAAAATACCAGAAAGCATATAAAAAGAATAAAAGCACCACGAACTTTAAGTTGGACATCAGGACTATCACTACTCTCAAAATTGGCGGACCTACATGGTTTGTGGCCGACCTACATGGTTTGTGGCCGACCAACATGATCTGTGTTGGACCTACATGATTTGTGGCGGACCTACATGATTTGTGGCGGACCTACATGATTTGTGGCGGACCTACATGGTTTGTTTTTGACCTACATGATATATGGCGGACCTACATGGTTTGTTTCGGACCTACATGGTTTTTGGTGATCAGTACCGCAAAAATGATAAGGAAACTTAAATAACATTAAATGTTGAATGTAATGCACACATTTGACACATCCAAGTCAAATAGTTCTTTTAATTTAAACCTACAAATAATCGTAAATAGATATGTTAACAAGGTATCATTTGATACTCTGTGTAATGGGATTAATCTAAGTAAATGCAAGAATTGACAACATTAGAAAATAATCGCATTTAATAGGGTTATTTAGTAAACATAATTTACATGCGAATCGAATAAGTTAATCGTCCTATATTGGCATAATGTATAATGACTCATTTTTTGTTGTTCATTTTTAAGCTTCCTCAGTCGTTTTTAGATAACCCTATTCATCGTTTGTTAGTTTTACAAAAATCTTCTCCTTTGAAACTACTGGGCCAAATTTAACCAAACTTGGCCACAATCATCATTAGGGTATCTTGTTTTAAAAGGTGTCCGATGACCCTGTCTGTTAACCAATATGGCTGACATGGCTTAAGATAGAACATAGGAGTAAAGTTAAAGTTTTGTCTTTTGTCTTGAAAACTGCTGTAGATAGAGATAATCTAACAGATCAGAATAGTTCAGAATATTGAGCTCTACCGACTGTCTATAAAAACCACAACTGCCAGACGACTTCTTATAGGAGTTGTTGTCCATTGTTCAAGACGAGTTTTACCATTTCCCCCCCATGTTTTGCCTTTCATCTTAAAAACTATAATAAATAGTGAGATAATAAAAAAAAAAAGAAAGAATAACCATACAAGTTTCACAAACAATTCAACGTTGTCGAATCTCGAAAACTACAAAAGATACTAGTAGATATACTTTATATTTGCACTTAACTGATGACTTTTACCAATTTTCTACGTCATTGCTTTTCAATTTGAATATTATTATGAAGATTCAAAAAAATCACTAATAGAAGATCTGAAAATAGGTCACATTGATGAAATTGTCAGTTGTCTTCATATATGATTTATTGCCCTTAAATGATGATTTTTACCCTTTTTTGCGCTTTAGGCAAAACTATAGAAGATAAAGAGAAATTAAGCAGAAAAAATTATCACCAATACAAATTCAAGTTCAGAACTATAACAACTACGTCAGTCCTGTGTACAGGACCTTTTGTGTACACATTTCATAATATCAACTGAGCCTATGTTAATTGTTGGTATCTGTTATTCAAAGAATTAAAGGGAACATTTTAAATTAAATGAAAACAAGGTAAATAGCACAAAATAGGTATCAATTATTTTGGAATTCACATAAACAAAAAACTAATACATGCTTTCAATGTTAGGAGTAATCAAAACAAATGTGGTTGTTTAAGGAGAATCCCAAAAATAAACACAGTTAAATGTAAAAGAAAGTAGTTGCATGGACCCGACTATAATTGCGGTGACACCGAAATGTATGTATAGTCCGAATTTTCAGCTAGAAAAATATAAACATTGAAATGAAAGGGAATGTCTCTTAAAATAACATAAAGTCAAAGACTACTGTGTGTTACACTTCACACACGCCGCAAACACATATTTGTATGAGTTTGGTACCAATGATGTCTGATGTGACACATAATTTAACAGAAAATTCACATACCTTCAAAATTTTGTAATTTGTACTTGTGCATTGTTTTCATCCATTTTGACAGCAATATCATCAACGTGTTTGTTAACGTCTTTTGATGCTACAAAAATAACATGCTTCAAGACTGAGTAAGTAGTTAAATCTTCAGAGCTGTAAGGAAACTCATTCAGTGTATACAATAATCAACGACAAGAATTGATTGACAATGTTAAAGTAGGATTGTTGTTTTTTATAATTCCCTTAAGAATGTATATTCATTATTGCGTACATTTGAATTGTTTAGAGCATATGAACACATTATTGTCAATATAATGGAATTTTATGCGACTGTCATACAAGTGAGAGGTTTAGCTAGCTTTAAAGCCAGGTTTAATCCACCATTTTCTACATAAGAAAATGCCTGTACCCAGTCAGGAATATGACAGTTGTTTTCCATTCGTTTGATTTGTTTGAGCTTTTTGATTTTGCCAATTGTTAAGGGTCTTTCCGTTTTGAATTTCCCTTGGAGTTCGGTATTTTTGTTGTTTTACATTTTTTGATGATAAGCCAATATGATTCATTCTGTCAAATCCTACAATAACTACAGAAAAGCTACTAGTATGAAGAAGAAACTTTCAAAGAAAGTTGTCAAGATATCACAAGACACTTGGTAATTATCGGTTTGATACTATAATTATTCTCATATCAACTTCAAATATCAACAATTTTGTAAAAACATTCAGATTCAACAAAAAATTCACTTTAACAACAAATTTGTATACGTTTGGAGGACGTAATTTTACAACGAACAGTTGACTTTCCTATAGGAACCAACTGAGATCTTCTTTTACCCAACCTGTTTCTTTATTCAAATGAGACAGGAACAATGCAGGAGCTTCTCAAGAAGAAGTTGGTGCCCTTTAGACTGGTGTTTGTCTTTTCGTCATTTTTCCTTTTGGCTAAGGTATTATAAAATAAGGTGATTCCAGAATTATACAAGGCCCCGAAATAACACAATGTAAAACAATTAAAACGAGAAAACCAACGGCCTGATTTATGTAAAACAAGTATGATATACTCCAACAAACGGCAACCACTGAATAACAGGCTCTTGACTTGGGACAGGTAAAAAAGGCTTGACTCATCAAACCGATACAAAACAACAATCTCCCTTCCCCTTCCCCAAACAACTAAAAGCATACAAGATCTAGTGCATTACATGAAGAACAATACCTATTATAAATCTGATCGTCAAAGTCCCATAACTGTGGAATGACAAATCATAAATTTTCAAAATCAAACCATAACTCTGGAATGACGCAACCAAAGAATTTGAAAATCAAAATGAAGCTTTCTTCTAATTTTTACGGTGATGTTGTTTACCGAGCCCGGAAATTAAGGTACGATCCGGGTAAACTTATCAAACCTTTAAAAAAACATATTCTAAAGAGTTACCAATTCAACATTGTAATGAGATCTTTGAATTTTGTTTTTTATTGGTATAAATATTTATTTTGTTATCAGTACATTAAAACCATACTAAATATTATTGTTATACACATATGCACATTCACGGTTCTACAATCTGTCGATACATATATGTTGGCATTGCACAAGGTCATGTTTTTCTCTGACTGTTAATGACGTCTTTACACTAAATCCATTGTATGTTTGATGTGTACTGATTAATATTTTAGTCTTACATGATTTTTTCTATTAGTTGTAATTGGCCTTGAAATAACTATCAGTAAATGTGAATACTCTCAGATCTGTATATATAATTTGTGTCTTTTTTGTTATGAGGGATGTATAAATTCCCTGCCATGTCCGGTCTGTGTTTGTGGTAGATGTTATTATGCTTTCTATAGATCTGTTAAGCCATTTTCAAGGGTTGGCGCCCTCAAACATATTTGACCCCGCCACATTCTCTATGTGCCTGTCCCAAGTCAGGAGCCTGTAGTTCTGTGGTTGTGGTAGGTTCATGTCTCTCATATTTGTTTTTCGTAAATTTGTTTGTTATAAATTAGGCCGTTAGTTTTCTCAGTTGAATTGTTTCATATTTTTCATGTCGAGTCCTTTTATTGCCGACTATACGGTATGTGTTTTTTCATTGTTGAAAACCGCACGGTTGCCTATAAATTTACTTCCACTTTATTTGAACTTTGATGGATAATTGTCTTATTGGCAATCATACCACATCTCCTTATTTTCATATTCTATCAATCCGAACGTTCTGTTTAAGTTTTATGGGAATTGGCATTTAAAGTTTTTATAGGAAATATACAGTATACTATAATACATCCCATCTAAAACAGGATTTTAATACCACGCATATGAATATATACATGTACACAAAGGAGATAACGAACACCTTTCTCATACTTAAACAACAACATAAACCACTTCATACTTTAAAGTATGATACAGCGAAGGCCTCCAAAGCTTTTAATAAAACTAAAAGTTGTAATATTTTGGGTTTGGAGAATAGAGACTCTTCCAATTAATTCAATTTTTATGATATGATGAGTTTTTTCCCATTATTTTAGAGAATGTTACATTTTATCTCTAGTAAGACGTGAACTGAGATGTCCATTGTAACTGTGTCCACGGTTTCATACATTTTGCTATAACTGTTCTTACTAGCATTGATTTTGTTTTTACTAATTAAAATTAAAACATAATTAGAATTGTGTTGTAAAAACTCATCACAGGCTTATAATTTGGTACGTCAAACGTTTACATAAGACTCGAATCAATTCAAATAAGTAGAATCATGCACCATTGAATTGTTTTGATCAGTTAAATATATTTCTAGTTGCTGAATACCAGAGGAGCCAAAAAGGAAAAGAAATATTCACCTGGGATAATTGCATAAAACAATGAGTTGACATTATACATTTATTTCCCTTGCCTGAGGGAGATATGATGTTTTGTTAAATTTCATGTGGGACAGTCTCGAGCAATGAAATGGTCGTATGACTATTAATATTTACATATAGTGGAATAATAACATTTATCCCCGTTGGTTTATAAATCATGTTTTTAAAATTACACATATCTTAAAATAATTCAAAATAGTTTTACCAAATCAGATTTCTTTCTACAACTTCAGATATTTACATGACACATCGAAACAGTATTACTAAACTATTTTAATATCAGATGAGGTCAGATGAAAGAATACAATGTTCTATTTCTTGATTAATTCTTTGAAGAATGTGTCGACTGGCGAAGATAAAAAAGAATAAGAGTACAAGTTTGATAAAAAAGACTCTGCGCTGCTATGCACTTTTAAGGGAAACTTGCCTATACACTAACTGTTGTATATTTTACACGTTATCATGTTTTGATTATTTACTAATATGTTATTCTTACCTTGCAGACTACGGTTACATAGCTTTGTAGATAACAATGTCAACAAACATAATGATGCAACTACTGTTGCACTTGCTGGTACAAAAGTCAATATTGTTCTGTAGTATCCCGCACAGGTTCTTCAATAGAATATACATTCATGTATCCATTTGTTGCATTGTTTAAAGTATTTCTAAATATTCATTTAATTAATTTAGAAGACACGTCACATTGCATAATTACATATTCTAACTTTTTGTTTACGTTTTCAAAACCTTCAATGATATGTACAAATGCGACCAGAATTAAATCTTTCATTTCTTTCAACAAATAGTTATTTTGGTATAACTCATACTAAACAATTCAATTCTTAGGCGGAACGGATATCCTTTTAATTCAGAGAGTAGGCTTGATTTATAAGTTTGGTATCATGGCGAAAGTAAATCTGAAAAATTGTGTCGAAAGCACCAAATTTATAAAGTTTTTTTCTTCATTTTCATATAAGAGCAATAATTGCTTGCCCTCTCGGACCACCAGGGTTAACCCTGTTTACAAAAACAGAATTTTGTAAACTGTATGTCATTAGATTTGGCCCATTTTACAAAAATCTGTAACATAGCCCATTTACTGTTCCTTGACCTTAAATGACGGTTTTTACGATTTATCTATTTTGCATATTTTCCTGAAAAGTATCTACAAAGAGGTAAACATATATATTCAGTTTGGCGACACAGGCTCTTCAGAATGTCTTGTTTATTTTGGTCGACAACGACACATTATAGCATTCTGTGTGACCTTTCTCTGATGAATAAAATTGAATGTATCTAAACTAACAGATATGTTATTGTTGAAAGCTGCTCAATTTTCTAGCTTCTCTAACTTAGACTTCAACAAAAATTATTCGTTCGATGTCGTAATTAAATGTATACTTCAATATTCGTATCTGTCTATCGTATTGCATACAGTTACCAGTGTATCAGTGGTAGAAAGTTTCCTGCTCATTGATGAGAAATTTGAATTTTCCTCTTCTTTAAATAAATAATTATTTATTGAAACATTGATTCTAGGAATACGAAATCAAATAAGAATATGGCTATCGGTACTGTTGAAACAGGCGTGATAATAATAATCGTATACATGTATCAACCGAACTCTATAGCGGTGCTCATTTCAGACTTATTAATATTTTAATTTTAATTTTCATATTTTAGAAGCAAAAATAAAAGGGAAACTCAATAACACATTGCGTTTTCCTATTCCGAATAAAAGATAAAAATGTGACACTGAATAACAATTCCAGGTCGGTTTTCAAACAAAAATCCTGCCAAGGGTGTATTGTTTGAGTTTAGGAACACCTATCAGGCAATTATAAATAAAGCTTGCATGTTGAACTGCTTTCAAAAACAGAACGTAAATAAAGGTTGATACTTATTTTCTACAGTTACAAATTTCATCTTCTATGTAACGAGACTTGATTTGATGTGCATTGTTTACATGTATTTCATTATCTCATCTCATGAGAGAATGTTGTTGAATTCTTAGATGAGATATCATAATCTGTTGACACATCGGGTCTCGCTGCGCTGGGCATTGATTCGATTTCCCAACGTTGAATCTATTTGTTGATACATTTGAATAGAATAACTGCTTTCGAACATCGGTTAACTATTTTTCATGCTTTATATACATATCCAAGGTAAGCGGCATGTAGTCTCATGCTCGTTATAATTATCTTGTCCTGTTCTAGATCTTTTGTTTTTTACCGGTTGGTAGTTTTTAGCTCTTTAGTGCCGTTGCCAATCGCAGAAGACTGTACTGTAAGTGTTAGTTAGGTTGTTGTCTCATTAGCAATAAAACAAATCCTTCAGAATGATCTGTTTCTATATTCAGTACTGTATTTAGTCAGCCGTTTAAATGTTTTTTGGAGGGGGGATGTTACACTTTGATTATTAGAAATGTAATCCATTTATAATTATTGGCAAAATCTTCAGGCTTTTTGTAACGCAGGAGGTGAGATATAAAGCATTCCCCAAGAATCAGAGTTTTAACATATGTAAAGTAATAAGACAGGTGGTTCATTGAATGAGAGTTTTAAAACGTGGTTTAATAGTTACTTGATATATACATCAATTATGCAAAGTATGTTTGGTAAATATTTTATGAAGTTCGAAGGCCAAATTAAATACGAAATTGAAATGCATGAATGCAACACACAAATATCAATGAAGCACATTTGCGTCTGTCTTTGTCGCAAGCTTTAGTGGATCCAGATACTTAAAAAACTAACTTTAATAGGATGGCTATAAATTCTGCTAACATAATATATGGTTATAGTCTTCTGCTGTGAATGCATTACCCGTCATGCGAATCCACATTCAGTCACAATTGGGAATATGCTTTTTTGGAATCTGAAGAAATAAGACTGCGAAAACTTGTTGCTAGTGCGTTTGGACACAAACATGTCGTATCTGTCAGCAAATTCTTGATGGGGACCGTATTACTTACATTGGCTTATGCAGTGTCGATTTCAGTCGTTCATCGTCAAAATTCAGTAAGAACATTTTTTCTGTAGGTAACAGAACCCTGCTAATAAAGTCCTTATAGTGTAAACCTGAGATAGTAACGTATCAATTGAGATATGTAAACTCCATACGATGGAGCAGAGGCTATGTTTCTGCAGAGAAATGTAAAGTGGACACGTTCGTCATAGATTGCAGTATCGAGGAAACGATACAGATACGAAGAAAATCATCTTGTTGCGGTAGTATGCTTTATTTCAAATTTACTGGGATACGTGAGATGTAAGCACTCATTAAAATATGTTATTGAGTGACAGAACATTATCAATATGTCTGAAAGTGAATTAAAGATCTTTACAAGATGTTTATTTTCATTTTGTCTATGAGAAGGTTTTGTAAAAATTCTGCTCCATATGAGTACAAACAAAGTTAGCCAGTAAGGGTGCACAAATTGTGCACATTGGAACACTGACTGCCTTGAAATATCAATCCAACAAATTACACAAAAATGTTGTCAATCAAAAAGACCAGCATGTTGATGATATCATCATCGATGGTTTTTTTTTTTGTTGAATCAATGAGGTTTCTCACAAAGTCAGATTTTTCATGACCTAAAACTGTATCTATGATTCCCATTTTTTTTTGTAGAAAAAAAACTCTGTTTGATATAACGACGTATTTGATCTTTCCATTAAGCATGGAGAGAAGTAATGTAAAGCATAGAAAAATAAAAATTTTGATATTGCTGCAAAATTATAAAGTTTTGGATTAAAGAATTTGCAGTAGATTTTTAAAAATCCACACCTTATTGACACCGCTGGTTGAACATGCCTTATCGTGATATTTCGAAAGGTCGTATTTTACTGTAGAAAGACTTGGGGTAATAAATGTTTAGTCGAACATCTTGTCGACCCGGCTATATATCGTTACTGTATACAGGAGTTTCTAAGGAAGAATGAATAGAAGCTAGCAGTATCCTTTAACTTCACGTTCTGCTATAAAGTAAAATTACAAAAATACCGAACTCCGAGGAAAATTCTAAACGGAAAGTCCCTAAGTAAATGGCAAATTCAAAAACTCAAACACATCAAGATGATCTCTTTTCATTAAATACTGAAAGTTTGGAGACTAAATTGAACGTATCAATCCCATCGAACTTGAAACGAAAGATACACCAGATACAGCTAAGTATGCCTCATATCTTGACTTACATATAGAAACTGACAATGAGTGTAGGTTGCAACAAAAGTTTACGACCACAGAAATGATTTCAAATTCCCAATTGTGAACTTTCCATTTCTATGTGGCAACATTCCAGCAGCGTTTGGATATGGAGTATATATCTCCCGGTTCAAACGACATTCCTGAGCTTGCATTTCCTATCATGATTTCCTTGATAGACGGTTGCTTCTTACAGGGAAGTTATTGAACCAAAGTTCCAATGGTGAAGTTGAGATCATCCCTTCGAAAATTTTATGGATGCCATCACCAGTTGGTTGACCGTTATCAAACATCTGTATCTCAGATGACGACGGACATGTTACAATTGTCGTAACCACTATCCTGTTCTTTTGTTCTCGAAAATGAGACTTATCTTCGAGTTTGTACTTACATGAGCAACAGGACGGATGCCAAAAATTGATGTATAGAAGGATTGGCTTACCCTTCTGGAGCACCTGAAATCACCCCCGATTTTTAGTTGGGTTTTTGTTGCTCAATCATAAGATTCTATGTTGTGTTTTATGTAATGTTTTGTATCTTTTTTCTTTTCGTCGTTTTTTCGTTTTTTGCCGTGGTCTTGTCTGTTTGTTTATATTTATGAATTCTGAATATCCATTTGGTATCTTTCGCCTCTCTTTTATAAACAATATGAACATGTTGAAAGATATTTTCAATTCTTTTTTTGTATTTTTTTCATCAGTGGTTCAAATAAATTTTCAAAGCAGTAAAATCATATTATAATCATATTATCTTACATATAACACACATAGCCTTTCAGACGCCTTAATAACTAATTGCCGAGAAAAAATAAACAAACTAAGCAAAATTGCATTATTCCAATGAGTTTTAATGGTAACTGAAATGACAGAAAAGCATATAAATAGGTCAATCCGTCCATGTTTAGTATGCAGACCATGAACAGTATTATCAGTGAACTGTATCTTACTTGCATGGATGCATATGCTGAATCACAACAACAACTACACCACTTGACAGTTTTTCTGTAAAACTGATTGATCCATATACAAACCCAGAACTTTCCTGAAAGTATATTATACGACGTACACTAATGAGTTTCAAGTAAAAACTAGTTTTATGATGCAATTTCGTTTAGTTTACATTTACTAGTAACTTTCTATTAAGCATTACCGGTAATAAAGAATGAAAAATATTCCTTTATTAACTTTGTCCGGATGATCAAATAGTGTTTTGTAATGACAAAAACTTTTATTGTTTTGAATTTCAACCCTTTTATTAAACGTTAGGTGGCAGGTATCAGTAAAATCACAAAAATACTGAACTCCAAGGAAAATTCAAAAAGGAAAGTCCCCAATCAAAAGGCAAAATAAAAAAAACAAACACATCAAACGAATGGATAACAACTGTCATATTCCTGACTTGGTACAGGCATTTTCTTATGTAGAAAATGGTGGATTGAACCTGGTTTTATAGCTAGCTAAACCTCTCACTTGTATGACAGTCGCATCAAATTCCATTATATTGACAACGATGCGTGAACAAAACAAACAGACACAATAGGTAAAAATGTCAAAAATAGGGGTACAGCAGTCAACATTGTGTTATCATCTTAATCACTATAAAAACAAACAAATGTAACGAAGAAGCACAAAAAGGCATACATCAAATTTAAAATCCTCGTTTTGCTTATATTATACGATTTTATTTATCTATGTAAAATCCACCCATAAATGATGGAAGGTTTTAAGTACTTTTGGTCTATTTGTATGATTAGATCATCAAGAAAATTCAGATAGTTAAGTGATGAAATATATTATTGCCTCATGTCGACTTTAAAAACAAATGAATGCAAATATTTGGTTATTGTACTACATTAATAAGTGTTTGCATAAACAACATGGTGATTTCCCTCTAACATTGTACCAACCAAGAGTAAAAATTGAGGTATCCCCTCTTAATTTCATCCAACCAAAGTGGGACAAAATAAATTTTATGTAAATCAAAGTATATCTTGAGATGTCAAAGTAAGGGATAGGTGTGGACAAGGCTCTTATTCATCAAATTTCATTGATCACTTATTTTGGAAAAACCTTTCGAAATTTTGGGTACTCAATATGCTCTTCAACTCTGTACTTTATTTGGCCTTTTAACTTTTTTATTTCGAATGTCACCAATGTGTCTTTTGTGTACAAAATATCTGGCCAAACAAATTAAAAGCCTGGTATCATTGATGAGTTTTTTTTTATATTAACCATAATATTAATTTGTACATATAAGTGATTTCCTCTGCTAAGGTTGTAATTCCAACGTTTAGGTTATCGATTGTGCTTTACTATAAGACGCAAGTTCTTTCTATGCTCAAATTGAATTTAATACCGACTAAGTACGAAATCCAGACTATGATTTTAAATTCTGTTATGAACTTTATGTTTCTTCAACTTGTATACAGTCACTTAATGTGGCAGTAATTACAAAAAGCGACAAAACATACAAACCTACTAACGTGTAGCCGTTTTTCTGCATAGAGCTAATTTGCTGGAAGCATTGATGCCCTATATAGAACGCCAAATCAGTTGAAAATTGCAGTATAAAGATATTTGGTGACTGTTGGTTGTATAAATTTGATTGTATATAGTCAAAATGTTGGTTATGTGCTTGTTGTTACTTAGTTGATTTGTAACATTACTTACATGTACATTTTGAATTGTAATATCTTTATTGCAATGAAATTTTATATGAAAGGATAAAATTACTCATGCCAAGTATTTCTTTATTTGAAAAAAAAGATTAATTCTGAACAATTTTTTGAAAAGTGCCAATTTAAGAAAGACTAATATGGGAAAATCAATGGTTGTATTATACCTTAAATTAGTTAATTTTTGTTCTTAATTTTCATTATTGAATTATGATATAATGCATTGAGTATTACAAAAGATCACATTCCTATGTCCATATTAAAACAAATACCATATTTAGTTCTTCAAACATTTCCTACAAACAACAAATACACATAAAACAATAATTCATGTACCGTATTTCCTCCAATCAAGTCGGCATTCATAGCAAAAGCGGTAACCAACATAGTAGAACCTCCGATGCCAACTAAAATGGCAACGCCATAGGCTTGAGTTGATGTTGATGATTCCAGAAAGTGTATCCATGTACATCCTGCTACTCCAAAAATGATTCCAACAAAATAAATAGCCTACAGTGGTAAATTTATTATCTTTCATAAAAATATGACGTTGTCCTCAATTTCGTGCTAAGTGTACCCAATTCGTTCTTTAAGTGGCGAACAATGGGTGTTGAATGGCACATATCGGCTGTAAGAAACATTTGTTGTATACATAAGAATAAATAAAAAAAAAAAAAAATCAAGATCCAGCCTTTGTTATCATAATAACTTTATAATGTTAGTACTACATAGTGTGCTAGTGACTTGACACTATATATATGGGGTCAGTAAATTCCATATTGAATTTACTGACCCCATATATATCGTAGTACATCACTAACGTACTGTGTAACGAATATATCTTACCGACTATCTTAACATGTGGCATTTAGACTAGTGTCCTATCAAAGTGATCAAGTCTTCAATATAAAGAACCTACTTCCATTGGTCTATACAAAAGCAAATGCCAACAATAACAACGTGTTACCTTTTAATGTGTTTAACGCATTTAAGTTCATCATCAATTTCTTCATCTGTTGTCTGGGTGAAAAATTCAGATTTTTCCGCAACGCTGTGTTTATGAGGATACCAATGTGTTACCGTAGAGTTTTATTTATAACATCAAAACAGAATACAGGTATGCGGATTTTTTACGTCGTCCGCTTTAAAAAAAAACAAAATTATGGTTTTACCCAAATATGTCATTAGGAACAGTCGTAAGAGTTGCAGTATATCAAAAATAGCCATGCATTGTCTCGAATAATAAATTTTGTTTGTATTCGGCTCTAAACCGGATAGAAATCGGCACAGCATCACATTCTAGCTGTTTCTATCAATAAAATTTATATTTCGAGGCAATCTATAAAAATAAGGAGATGAGGTATGAATGCCAATGAGACAATTTTCCCCCAAAGTTCAAATATTTAAAAGTGGATGTAAGCAATAAACGTATTTACACGTTTGATATTTAGCTATATTTTGCCTCCGACTGACCTTAGATCTACTCCGAATCACCTTTTGACGTCAGGCAACAATCACTTTTAAATTGTGACGTCAAATATTTTGAATTATGATGTCAAAGTTTACGGGAACCTGTGTGATTTTACGTAATGGCGGACAAATTTGCATACAAGGGTAAATACGTCTATTATAGACAACCAATGATATATGGTTATTTTATATTTAAGCGGAAAACGATATTGGTTTTTGTTTTGTGGGAATAGAACATCAATACGATCTGGACTAAACATTAAACCATACCAAAGCTGTATAATTTGTCAAAATCTTTTAATTTGGGAATGTTCATGCAACTTATTCAACAGTATCATGAGTATACAATAGTGGGAAAGGAGGGGACATTTAAAAAAACAGTAAAGACCTAGCAGCACTAAATTTTATGTTTTTGAGTAGTTATTTCTTTATTTCCATATTACAAATCTCAAAAACTTGGTATCCTTCGAATAAACCTGCGGAAATTGTAATCTATTTTCTATTGTTTAAAGAGATATCCGTTTTACTGATAAATGTAATATTCTTTCTCCAGCTGTTGCTGAATACTATATAAGCAGTATGTCAAAACACTTATGGTGTGACTTCTTTGCAGGTAAAATGTATTTTTGAAATAAGCTTTATCAGTTACTAGTATGTGCGATAAAAAAGCCTGGAAATAATAAAATATCAAAAGTTTGACAGCATATTAAGCTACATAGAATAATAATAAAATCTAACAGCGTTAAAGGGTAGCTTTGCTCAGAGACATGTAATACAATTATATCATATTTTATTATATGTCTTTTCTTTGTTTAAGGAGTTCATGTCATAGTCTTTGCATAATAACATTTTTTCATTACTTCATAATTCACAGACACCATCCTTTTAATTTGAATCAGCATGCACCTTTTCCCCTCTATCCCAAATATGTCTGTAAATGTAGTATCTTTTATGTCGCAAAAGCTGCTTTTATTGGTTTTACAATATACTCACCTTTTTTCCTATTTTCGTATTTATAGGCTTCATAAGGAGCGACATAAAAAATCCACTAATGTACACAACTAGAGGTATCACAGCAACATTGTCCTATGAAATATGTATTCATAAAGTATATTGTTTATTTCAAAATTTTTAAGGATAAGAATTAATATTTGTTGTCTCTTATAGCAGGAACTGGAGCACCTAGGTCAATCCCGGTTTATTGATGGAGTCCGTGGGGGTCGGTGTAGTGTTTAGTGGACCGTAACTTGTCGTTTTATCGTTTTTCTTTTGTACAAGTTTAGTTTTTAATTTTTCGTTTTTTTTGGTTTTTGTTTATTGCTTAAAATATCCACCTGTGTATCTTCTCTCTTTCCCCCGTCTACAATATCGGTACTGCCTAAACATATTCAAGTACATGACGTAATAGTAATAATAAAAATGATAGTCTTGGAGAACATGATTTATTAATTAGTTATAATTGGTTTTTGACTATCTACTGCGTGTACTCTTTTATCGTACTTTGTAATTATTGTTTTTATGTTATTTTTTTGTGTGCCTCGTACCTATATATTGAGTAAAGCCATTTGAAACTGATTTTTATAGTTTGTTCTTATCTTGTGCTGTAAGATTCCTGTCCCAAGTTAGGAGAGGTTGACTGCTAACAATCATGTTTACCCAAGCCAGTCTTTTTTTCAAGCAATGCATGTTTTGGAATCTATTCCAATAAAAAATATATATATATATAAAAAGAAAAGAAATGAAACGCTTCTTTAAATTTCGTTTAATTTTTTTTATTTCTTTTTATACCAGACTATCGTATAATTAACAATTAAAAACACTAGTTATGAGTAAATGGTAAATTGTTCAGAGCTACTGACATGATTGAAAACATACCTTTCCTAAATTGCCTGATTATATATCTATAAACTATTAAAAATCTAAGTTCAAACGCCCTCAGGCAAAGTTCATTGTAGGTGTATTTGGTAAGTATTTACGTCCTTTTTGGCCATATAGCTCTTCACGTGTATCGTGATGTATAAATCATTTGCTTTCAATTATTTGGCTTCCTGATGAAGGTAAATTCAGAAAAAGGTATAAGCGCTTCGGAAGAATAGAATTTATAAAGGGTTATTTTCATTTTTGCCACATAAAATACGACGTTTAATTTGATGTCAGTTAATCTCCTAACTAACATAGCAATCAAACAAAATTCCCCCTTTTTAATCGCAAATACAATTTGTTTCTAATTAACTCGTAACGTTATGGAACAACAAATATATTTAAAGTGACCTACTTTTTCCATATGCAGTGTTTCTGTGATGAAAAGTGGTAAATAAATCTGTGTAACATTAACAAAAATTCTAGCACACATATAAACGACACCAATCTGAAAAAATAACAAAGAATCTGAAAAATATGTGTTTGAAGAAAGAAAAATGAATAAATAAAAATAATTTAACTTATCGTACATGTGAATATTTACTGTTCACCAGGTAATGACTGAACACATACATTGTATGGACACCGGTCTAATGTTGATAACAGTTTGTTAATTTCTAAATGTCGCTGGACTCTTTGGTCGTTGTTCTGCATTAGTGTATCTTTGACGTTTAATCCACATCTGTTTGAATTCATAACTTAAATCGTAATGACTTGTTTTAAAAGACACATTAAATCCCATAAGTCTAAGAGAAACCTTAACGTCATGGCAAAAATACCAAAAAAGTTTTTTTTTGCCATGACGATAAAGTTTCTCTTAGGCTTATGATTTAAAAAGATTAGCATTCCAACTGTTGAAATTGGAGCACCACATAGCGACTTATGTAAAAAAACATGCGCGTATGGCGTAATAAGTTATAAGCTTTGTATCTTTGTTGAGTTTTACATCTATTGCCGTTGACGTTGATATTGAAAAAAATATTCAGTGTCTGAGATCGAGAAAAATAGAGATTAAGGTTGGATCCTTGTGATTGTTACAGAAGACCTTCAAATTGTCCAAGACCGATAGTTATTTTATAAATTTTTTTAAAGAAAGGAATAAAATCGTCCATCTGCTAAAATGAACTGGATGAAATGTACTTATATCATCAGTGGCTTAATTTTTATATACTGCAAACTTAGATGGAAAAAAAGAAAGCTGATAATAATCTCTGGATTCTTTCTTCCGAAAAGCACGAATATTGTTGTTAATAGTATAAAACATATAAAAAAGTAAAACGGAAAGTTCTTTATCCAATGGCAAAATCAAAAGCTCAAACACATCAAACACATCAAACGAATGGAAAACAACTATCATATTCCTGACTTGGTACACGCATTTCTTTATGTAGACATTGGTGGATTAAACTTGGTTTTATAGCTACTTTAAAAAACCTCTCACTTGTATGACAGTCGCATAGAATTCCATTATATTGACAAAAATGTGTGAGCAAAACAAACAGAAATATTAGGTAAAATGTCAAAAATTGGGGTACAGCAGTCAACATTGCGTTATAATCTTAATCACTATAAAAACAAATAACTATTTCAACAAAGAAAACAAAATTGCATATAAACACTCTATAGATCAAGTACATAAGCAAAAATGAAAAACAAGAATACAAAAATGACCATAGCACAATAACACAATGCCGGGATGTATAAATATCAAAGTAACTTTATACATAACTTCACACAAATCAAGTAATCAAGAAAAGCGTATTGTGTTTGCTCTGCTATCAAAGCATCCAAAAACACTGCCGTTGTTTGAGTAATAACACTATATTTAAATTCTTAAACTGAGATAAAACATTCGACTATTTTCATACATAAATTTTTTACTGAAGATAAGTCAGATTGTAAAAAATGCGAAAGATCCCAATCGACATTCAAAGGGAACATTCAAAACATTAAAAAATGACTGCATTCAAGGTTGCTGTTTAATACCACGAGATTTCAACTGTGCATTTTCTAATTGACACAATATAAATTACGTTTTATATCTGCATTCAGTAAATGTTCAACAACACATATTTCGGTCCCTGTGAATAATGCTCTTTAAATAGGTTAGGAATTCGTTATGAAATATGTCTACAAAGCTAATATCAATAGGAGTATTAACAATTTATGTTGGGTGAAAAACTCTTGAAAAGCTACCATCGTTTGAAGGGCAGTTTGCGCCCATCGGTGGTTTTGACTTGTGTACTCTGTATAATTCACCACGACACGATGTTTTGAAGAAAACGTTCTCCTTTTTAGTAAACTAGTCTTTTTATAGATCAGGATATAAGCTTGTCTAAAGCGGTCGTTACGATTATTTTTCAGAAATAAATCTTACCAGTAAAACCAAGAAATTGAACATGCGAAGAAATGAACACATTAATATTTGGCTTGATGATAATACTTTTCGTTTTGAAGATAACGTATACACCAACGTGATAGGTATTCTGTCTGAAGGATATTTCATAGAGAGTGGAGAAAATCTCATCACGATTCACGAGTTGATTTTTTTGTCAATCACGATTCACAGAAAATAAATTTCCATGATCACGGATCACGAAAATATAAAAAAAAATAAATCTGTAGAAAAACGGATCACGATAGCGAAAATGCGCCGATCACGAAGAACGAAAATAACCCATCAGGCCCCTCATTTAACTAACGCGAACTTGCAGCGTCGCCGTCGTTTTTTTTTTATATCAAATATTGCATTTTTTGTTACAGAAAAGACAAAACAGGTAATATTTTTTTTATACCTTTCCCTTCATCAATCCTTATAAATATTTAATGATAATCAATAACCGGTTTTCAAATGCATTATTACCATTTTCAAATGGATTGAGATAATCCTTTTTCTTAGCAAAGCAAGGAAATTTGTATTTTTAAAATAGACATTATTCAGATTCATTATTCTGTGTGTAAACTGGTTTTTACTTTAAAATACTGCTCATGCACCTGATCCTTAAATGCCACGACCCCCCCCCCTCCAAAAAAAAAAAAAACAACAACAAACAAACCAAAAAAAGAAACAAACAAACCAAAAAAAAAAACAAACAAACAAAAACAACCACAAAAAACTTAAGAAACAAAAATTGTTATTATGACAAATATCATAAACTATAGGGTTATATATGACCCTATTGTAAAAAAAAATCAAAGATACAAGGCTTATAATTTTGTACGCCAGACAAAAACGTCTACATAATACTCATCAGTGTCACTTGAATTAAAACAGTTGGATAGTAAAATCAAAACGAAATTGAAGAGCATTAAAACCAAAAATTCCAAAAAGTTGTGCCAAATACGGCTATCATATATCCAATTTTTTATACTTTCATATAATCGCCGTTGACATACAGTCATTTTAATAATTTAAAAAGTACAATACTTATTCCAATGATAGGTTGACATAAGACTCATAAGTGACAATCGAATCAAAATAGTGAACACATTAAATAAGAAGCTGAAGACCACTGAAAACTTAAAAATTTCTAATCATATGCAAAACTTGAGTACGGCCATATATGCCCTGGATAGGAAATACTAAGCTTCAGAATGACTTAATATTTGATGAACAGTTAATTTTCAAAAAGATTTCAGCATCTACAAAATATCCTTTCAGCACATTAGTATTGACAAGTGGGTTGGTGATACTCTCCGGACGAAACGTTAATTAAGAGCATTAAACTTGGTCAAAGCAATGCATACAGTAATATTTGTTCCAATTAATGACCTGGGTGTATATTAACCACATGACCAGCCTTAAGTCTATTCAAGCCAATTAAAACGCATGATATTGACTAAACACTAAGGTTCAAACTCCTTCATGCATTGCTGTCTTTGGCCAAATTTGACCTGATTATTTCAATGCCATTTTTAATCATATATAGCTCCTAACATTTCTACGCTTCATATATTCCTGGTTTTCAAATGTTTGGGTTGGAGTGATTCTGAATATGGTTAATCTAGAAAAGTCCTTCGGACGAAGGAAATTCATAAGTGTTATTTTAAACGTTACCAGTGTCGAAACAGAAAGTTGATGAGCCAAGGTTATGTCAAAGAACGTCTCCTCCTTTTTTCTAAAAACGTTCATCGGAAGATACCAAGACCTTGTTGATAAATATTCCGTATCAACTTTACAAATAATACATGATAGTCTTGAAGTATAGATACTAGATACTGACGTTGTCTATCATCGTACTATAACGTGTTATAGTGTTCTTTTTATTTTTAATATTTACTGTTTCGTCCAATTTTGGTAATATACTTTTGGCGTGGCTCGATACTTATACACCCCACCATTGTGTTATTGTGCTATGGTCATTTTGTATTCTTGTCTTTCATTTTTGCTAATTTTCTTTGTCTATAGAGTGTCTTTATGCAATTTTGTTTTTCTTTGTTGAAATAGTTATTTGTTTTTATAGTGATTAAGATTATATTTCAATGTTGACTGCTGTACCCCAATTTTTGACATTTTACCTATTATGTCTGTTTGTTTTGCTTACACAGTGTTGTCAATATAATGGAATTCTATGCGACTGTCATACAAGTGAGAGGTTTAGCTTACTATAAAATTATGTTTAATCCACCATGTTCTACATAAAAAAATGCCTGTACCAAGTCAGTCAGGAATATGACAGTTGTTTTCCATTCGTTTGATGTGTTTGAGCTTTTAATTTTGCCAATTTATAAAGGACTTTCCGTTGTAGTTTGGTATTTTTGTTATTTTACTTTTTTCCTTCATTGAAGAAATGAAGTAAAAAAAATGCAGTTATAGAAAAAGTTTGACTACTGGTTATTGTATATCTATCAAAAAAAATATAATTAATGAAAGTGTTGCTTTATTTTAAAGGCAATTGAAAATCCTCAAAATAGTTTATTTCAAAGGACCAATTAACGCGTGGATTTAAAAATACTATTAGCTTTAATTATTTTGCACACAATCCATTGGCCTTTTTAACTTTTTTAGATTCGAGCGTCACTAATGAGTCTTTTGTAGACGAAACGCGCGTCTGGCGCAAATACAAAATTTCAATCCTGGTATCTATGATGAGTTTATTTGCACTCATGTACACTATAGTTGAAATTGACAGGCACTTAGAACGAAAGTTTAAGTTCACCAGTATGACAAGTCATCAAAAGCTCATAATATACTTCATAAACACTTAGCTAAAGGTGGCTCCTTGGTTTTCAATATTGAGCTCATTGCGCTGAACGTGACGCATGAATTACCATTAATGAAAAATAGCCGTATAAATAATTAATTGTACCACTGGGTGTTGAAATCGATAAAGATTGTTTAATCGTTTGGCTTTTCCTCGTTGATCGAAAAATTATTACAGCGTCTTGAAAAAAAATAACTGATTGTTTCTAATCTTACAATTTATATTTTGAAACTCTTAATACAATTAATCATTCTAAGCATTAAAACACATAGATATGATGACAAGTGGAAAGGCTCTTGTAAATTTAAGCATGGTATATATGGGGAGTATATTCGTAAAAGTCTTAGTCAATACAAATTCATTAAATATACCTAAAATCACCAATAAAGAATATCATTGAACGGTGCACATTTTAGCTAGACGAGATACGCATTTCGACATAGAATGTCTCCTCGGTAATGCTTGGGGCCAAAATATTTGAATTCAAAACCTTATATCAACGTCAAAAGGATCACAAATATAACCAAAGCTGCTCTATGGATCACAGCTGCATACATGTATGCATGAGGGTATATTCCTTAATGTCAAATGATTTCCGGTGTTTTATGCAGTGTCATTAATATCATTAAACGGTTCGAATAGTACAACAGAAGATTCGTAATTTGAAATATAATGTCTCTTTGGTTATTCTATATTGTTTGAAAATCCAATACCTGAGGAAAAGCAAATCGGACAATTCAGACAAAATTCCTCATCATAAACTAGTAAAAACTTAAAAACTTAAAATACTTAAAAATCAGTCTAGTTCAATCAATTCTTGTAAGACAAATAACATATTGCGGGTAACATTTTGAACTACAATACTTATTTTATAATTTCAACATTGACGACCCCAAGTTTAAATATCTTGAGAAAAGTTGTGCAGTCTCCCCATTTAGATATAACCCAGCTTATCCTTGTTATAATAGGTGGCCACAACATCATAGAAAATAAGCAAACCCGAACCGGTCTTCAGAAATGTCAGAATTGGAGTTACTTATTGTGCCATATATACCAGATTTGAAAAAAATGGAACATTCTAAGGCTTCGTTAAAATGCATACATACTGCGTCCTTTTTTTCCGTCCAGAAGTATAAGGGAATTACTTCATTACCCTTTCAACAAAAAATCCTCTTTTAACCAAAAAGACTGATTGAACATTAGATCAACTTCGTTTCATAAATAAAGGTCCGACATAGTTGCATATAATTTGTTTTCAACAGGGACATATCATACTTTAAATATTTCACAAAAACAAAGAGTTCTCCTAAAATAACATCATCAAGATTTTTTATTTTTATATTGAGAATATACTAATCAAACTCATCAATACGAGGCAGACGTTTACAAAATAAAATAAAAAAAAGCTTGCATCATCCGATTTTTCAAAGATATGGATAACTACAGATTGAATGATTGCGAGGTTTTTTTTATTAATGCGATTAATATGACCGAGTAAGCATCGCAATAATCAAAACTCGCATTTTGATATCTGATAGATATATCTGTTTGCAATGTTTCCTGAAATCGCAATAATTAATCTCACATTTTTGTCCATTCTTCCAAAATCGCAATGATAAATACACGCAATAAGTTCTGAATTTACAATTATATTTGTAATCCATTTTTTTTTTATTAAAATCGAGAAATTGACATTTTTGCATCTATGCAAAACTTATTTTAACATCAAATGTGATAATTTTAATTCCATCGTAGTAATTTTTAACTTCTACGCAGCAGTATTGCAGCGGATCCTGTATATATCCTAGTCGATACAATATTCCAGGGCATTTTCTATCAGGATTTCATTGACTTACAATTAGTCTATTTGAAAAAAGGATTTTAATGATTCAGCTGAAGTTATCTGTTCAACATCATGTTAAAATATTTTCATGATAGGAATCGGTGAGTCCATATAACACAGCTAATAAAAACGTCTTTTCTATTTTTAAAATAAGTTAACTAATGTGAAATATATGTACGAATAAAAAGAAATGCATCTAAAACATCACTAGTCAACAAAACTTTCAACCTTCCCCTACATGAGGACGGTAAAGAGTCTACAGCAGTTTTCTAGCGTTAATGCAGTATATCCAGCTGTAATTCATATCGAGTCGAAAAAAGTAAAAAATGAAATAATACCTGATAAAACTGAATTTCTTTCAGCCAACATTTCCAAGTCATTAAGATTGGAATACCTTCAGTTGTAGTATTTGAATGTTCTTCGGGTACGCGATTTTCTTCTACATTGTCTTGATTACATGTATCCTTCTCCTTAACTATTATGTGAAATATAAAACAAAACACACTCCCTATGGCTACTAGTATTAACACTAGATTCTACAAAAAAGGAAGAAACATCAAGTCATTAAAACAGTATTTAAAAAAATATGCATAAAAATGTCATTATAAATGGTCTTTAACCCTCTTGCTGCCGCTAATTTTATATATTTGCATTTCGTGTGCCAGAAACTACGGCAGCTTGACATCGATGAATTACAGGGACCCGTTAAAGAACAATAATACACGGTTTAATCTTCGGTATTTTATTTGAAAGAGATACAGCAATGATTAGAAGCTTGAATAATTAAACATATGGACATTCTCAATTTTATATATGTCCCTCCGGCACAGCAAGTGTGGACACATGTGTCCTTTAGGCAGCAGGAGGTTTAACCTAGCTAAAACATCGCAAGTGCGGATTCAATCTCAATTTTTTTAGTATATATTTTATGACACGAAAAATAAACATCTTAGATATATTCATCTTGAGACATGTAACATTGTAACTCTGACAAAAAATAACTTTCAACTAACACACAAAAAAACAGTCTCTAATGGTTGTGGCCCGTGATATATTTTTTGCATGAAGAGATATTTCTCGTATCACACTGCACGGTGTGTGATACGAAAAAGGATTACGAAAAATGCGTTAATTTGATTGGCTTATCCAGCATCATGAGAATATATAACGACATTTCCATTGGCTATTCATTAGGTCACTGAAGACTTTCAAAGGTTAAGATGATGTACATTTCGTCATTGGCAACTGACATATGCGATTTCTTCAATAATAAACAAAACACCTACTTTTTTATACTTAAAATCGTCCTTTTGTCAAATGTTATTACATCATGAAGTGTACACAAAGTTTTACTGATGTTAAAGTTTGACGCCGGTACAGGACATGTGACGTTATACAGGTATGTGTAAAAGACTAGTTCAACGATTCGCGAATTTTTTTATTCTACACAAAGAGAGTGTTGACCATAAGAGAAATAAGTTTAAGACCTCGTGAATATTGGATATCGCTTGATATCAACTGTCGTTATTTAATTTAAATAGTGATAATAAACTCGCCGCAGGATCGTTTATCTTTATATTGAAATTGAATACCTCGATTTGATATCAAGCGATATACAATTCTCACTCGTAATGAAACCTATAATTATTATATTTGATAATGTCAATAATCATACAAATCATAATCTGAATATGAATAATGAATAATAATGATAATAATAAAACATATAAACATTTATAGGGGCCAGCTAAACGTATTCGGGTGCGGGAATTATTTTCGCTGTGTTTAAGACCCATTGGTGGCCTTAGGATGTTTTCTGCTCTTTGGTCGTGTTGTTGTCTCTTTGACACATTCCCCGATTCTATTCTAAATTTTATATTTAAGTTACAAATTATGTATATTAAATCTGATTTACTACAAACCAATAGAAATAAATGAACCTGGACAAAACTCTTTTTACGCTTACACCCAACGAATGAAAAAACAAAATCGTAAACCACATATATTCCATGTGCAAAATTCAGCATGGTATATAGTAGTTATCCAGTTAGTCAATGGACTAATTCTGTAAATCACTATTTCGAAAATCGTTTGATACTCTAAAATAGAAACATTTTGAATTCAATTATTCTTTTATATCACGTTCCGTTATATAAATATGTTCTCTCACTAGATAGTTCAAAGTTTGGTGACTATGTTGAACGCATTCAAAGGAGCTTCCCAAGTGTTGAATATCCATTTCTATGTAGCAACCTTTTAGCAGTGCCTGCATATTTCTTTGAAGCTACGTCCCAGCAGCGTCTGTATATGGAGTATATATCTCCGAGTTGATTCCATATTCCAGAGGTTGCATTTTTTTTTTATCATTTATAATTTCCTTAACAGAGGGTTGTTGCTTACACGGACGCTATCAAACCAAGAGTTCCAAGTGGTGAATTCAAATCATTCTTTGGAAACTTTTATTGACGCCATTACGAGTTGGTTTACCGTAATGGAATATCTGTTCACAGATGACGATGGATATGTTTCAATTGCCGTTACCACAATCCCGTTTTCTTTTCATCGTTCCTCGTATTCGACTTACCGAATTAGACTTATTACACGGATTGTACTTACATGAGCAATACGACGGCCGAAACATGTGTTGCAGGATTTGTGTATCTTTCCAAAGCCCTTGAGATCACCCCCATTTTTTTATTAGGTTTGTGTTGCTCTGTTTTTAATTTTCAATGTTGTGTTTTGAATACTATTTTTTTTTATCGTTTTTCGTTTTTGCCATGCATGGCATTGTCATTTTATTTTCGACGTAAGAGTTTGAAAATCTCTTTGGTATCTAATTCCTCTCATTTATAAGATGCAGTAAGACGCAATGGCGGCCTTAATAGTTCATAATACAATACTGAATGAATCTGTCCATCTGGCACCGTGAAAAAAAGCCTTCTATGTCTATAGTTTGTGTAGCTGGTTTTGAATAAGGGGCTGAAATTAACTTTCTGCTGTGTGTTTTATGACACCACAGTTATTTGGCACACAAAATGGGAAAGTTTTATAAATTATAGTGACTGGATTGCTCATTTTAAGAAAATTTAAGCTTCATTAGCGCCCAAACACATTTTATCGACCGACGCTATCAATCAAAGTCGAAAATTGTTGTCAATTTAACGGAGTTGTCATTGAATCCCAAAACTTTTGCATTTAAAAATATTCAGTACTTCTACAAAAATAATGAAACATAAATAGCCATATTATTTGGGATCGACATTTAAGGAGGGGACGATCAAAGGGAATACGTTAGAACAGAGTATATACGACTTAGCTAAACAAATTCATTGGAAACTTCTGCAGAAAAAAAATATACATATAAGATAGATCACTAAAACAATTCGATCTTACGGTATTATTATTGCATTATTTTGTACACTGTACTTTGGAAGAAAGAGTATTTCGGAAAATATTGAATTTTCCACAAAATAAGAATTGAATCTCTATTAAGATGATGAAAATCTGAAATTATCATCATTTTGGCATTTGAAAAAATGTTTTGAAAATGAAAATACAATTTTAGATACTAAATGGCCTTACATGAGGTGCACATAACACCAACTACAAGGAACATAACAATGAGAAGATATTGAGTATAACACTTATTTAAAACAAAATAATATTAACCAAACTGCACTATGACAATATTGTGCTGAAATTTTACTTGCATGAATGTGATTCAGAAATTTACCCGCAATTGTAAAGTAAAGCATATTCGAATTTTGAAATATATGAATAGATGTTATAAAATATGAAAAAGAAATATGATTATCTTTTAATAAAATCCTGATGACCTGCGAATATATAGAAGAAAAATCTATATAACCAGACCCCCCTCCAATATATGAATAGATGTTATAAAATATTAAAAAGAAATAGAATTATCTTTCAATTAAATCCTGATGACTTTACGAAGTTATAGAAGAAAAATCTATATAACCACACAGCCCGCAAAAAAAAAAAAGAAAAAAAAATCAAGAGGAAAAACGGAATAACAGAATAACAGAAATAGAAAAGCTTAAAAAGTTTTCTCTGTTGATTTGCTACTTAAATACGAAGAATGAGCGACAACAAACAAGCAAAAACAAACCTAAAACATTGTTTCTTTCTCATTGTTTTCAAATGAAAACAAGTTCAAAAGAAATAAAATAAAACAAGAGAAATGAGGCGAACATGCGAAAAATGGACGATATATATAAAACAATGATTAAAAATAAAAATTTTACCAAAATAGTTGGAAAATATACCTTAAACAGGTTTTGCCATAACTTGTATGAAATTTGTCTTGTGATAAAGCATATTTGATATCATATACGCCACAGTGTTATTCCGTACATACGTCTGTTTAACATGTGAAGCAGGATCTGCCATCCCTTCCGGAGCACATGAGACCACCCCGGTCTTTGGTAGGGTTCGTGTATCTCAGTCTTTAGTTTTATATGATGTGTTTTATATACTGTTGCTTGCCTTTTAATCGTTTTTGGTTTTTTGTCAACGCATTGTCAGTTCATTTTCGACTTATGAGCTTGATTATTCCTTTGGTATCTTTCGCCTCTCGTTTGTAAATCTAAAACCAAAACTATCTCCCATTGCCCATTATACAGTTTGAAAATATACCTTAAAATGTGACACAATTAAAAAATGATTTTGTGAAATATCACATAAACAAATGTTTACCTTTCCAAAGAAATTTAGTTCACCTATTTCTGCCGGCAATAACGATGTTTTCACTTTTTGTGTACATTATAAATTTTCTCACAAATTTCCAAATTCAAATGAAATTTCTTTTTTATGTCTTAAACTTCATTATTATGGCGAAAAACAGTAAAAAATAAATCCGACTGTTTGTTTTCTCTTGTCGTGTCGGAGTCTTTATAAGCTCACTGCGTGGAATGGGTTTCGCTCATTGATGAAGGCCGTACGGTGACCTATATCGCTATCATTGTTAACAGAATCATTTGGTCTCTATTGGATTGTTATCTCTTTAGGAATCATATCTCAACACCTTTTGTTTTTATAACAGAAGCAAAATTTAGAAATTGAATTCTTCATTAAAATTCATTTAAAAATGCTTAATACCTTTGTAAATAAACTCATCATAGATACCAGGATTAAAATTTAGGTCCACTAATTAGTATTTTCTAATATTAGACAATGTATTTTCGACTAAATTTGTGTTTATATCAACCCTCTAATTTTAGCAGTAGAAACCCCTAGTTAAATTTCAGTCTATCTGAGAAAGATCTTTATAAGCTGGAAAAACTTTTGTTCGATTCTTTCGTGTATTTTGAAATAAGATATGTTCAAACTATATCTATCTTATTTTCTCCCAAAATACAATGGGTTTCATTGTGAAAATGTGTCCATATTTTTTTGTTAATAAACTCATAAATATATGATATGAACTATGGGAGTCTACGAGAGGCGGGAGATTATCAAATGGATAATCAAACTGATAAGTTGAAGACAAACTGACAACACCATGGTAAATATTTAAAAGCAACTAAAACAAAACCAACAGTCTACAAAACACAACACGAAAAACTAAGGACAGAGAGCTACAAGAAACCAACCAAAAACCTGGGTTGGGGGGATTCAGGTGCTCCGAAAGGTAAGCAGATCCTGCTCCAAATGTGGCCCCCGTCGTTTGGCGTTTAAATTTTCTTCACATTTAAACATTTTCCAAAAGCATTTCTGTCTCTTCGTTTTAACACATTGTAGTATTATTTTCAAATAACACATAAATGAGTGTATATTAACTCGCCGAACTATTTAGTCTGCAACTATGTTGCTGTATATATTAATTTTCTTAAAAGAATAAGACTTACCCTAAATTTATCACTATCTTTCGGGTTTAATGATGAAGAAGAGGTGTTCTCATCATGAAGATTAAACAACAACCAAAAAACACCAAATGTCATTAAGTTCGATATCACATGAAAGGCATATCTAGAAGAAATTAACATTATAATTGGTAGGTATTCGAAGTTAGATTTATTTTCTCAAATAGTCTGTGTCTTTTCAGTGTGTTTGTATTTTATTTTATTTCGATTGTGAAAATCTGTACCTTTTACTGTACTATATGTATGAAGTTTTTTTTTATCGATATCAAACTATATGCATACAAATTTTGTATGTGCCTGTCCTGTTCAGTGGTTGTCGATGGTGCATGTCTGTTTTTATATTTGTTTTTCGTAAATTGTTTTGTTATAAATTAGGCCGTTAGTTTTATCTCATTTGAATTGTTTCATATTTTTCATGTCGGGGCCTTTTTTAGCCGACTATACGGTATGGGGTTTTCTCATTGTTGAAGACCGTATGGTTGCCTATCCACATCTCCTTATTCTTATATTAATGTTACCTCATTCCATTCAGTTGAACTCTTTCTCTTTTGTCTGCGGTAAGTAATGGTATTAGAGATAGGTGATTAATTTGTACAGAGGCCCATCCGAAATGGAAAATGACAATAAACGTTGCATAGTAGAAAAACTGTACCATAAAGTCAGAATTCTCACAAGCAGTACAATTGTTAAAGATGAAGGGAAAACTTCCTATGACACAAAGAGTTCCTGAAAAGTACAAATATTAACCTTGTAGAATTAAAGCTTTCAATTTTTCATGAATAATTTACCTCAAATCTTGGTGAAAAAACGCTTACAACAATTATTGGATTCCATCGTAATCAAAATGCATGATAATCGTTTTAGGCATTTCGAAGGTAAATTTATAAAAAAACATACAGCACACCCCGTGAAATACTCAGATAAAAGTCCATCATCTGATATGGCCAACATTAAATGGTGGCCATTTATTAGGGGTCTTAAATCATTGGGCGTTTGGATCTTATTGGAGTCATACAACATGGGCTGACGATCTGTCTGAATTTGCTATCTTGTGACGTTGATTAGTTGATTAGTTGAATGTATAGACAGACGATCTGCACTTTTCATCAACACTTTTAACATTCTTAATCCATTCCCATTACCTTCTTTAATCTAATGCTAATAAATTCCAATTCTGAAGTTGTGTCAAGTATGCATTGTAGCATATTCATTTGAGGACAAAAATTCGCATTACTCCAGAAGGGGGAAAAAGTCGCAGTTCAGTTTGAGATATGTTTTCCTTGAAATAATATAAGAATTGTTTTCGGGGGAAGACGGTAATACTTTTCTTTAACTTTTATATATTAAATAGCTTTGTAAACAGAATTAGTTTTATAAACAAATAACCAATTGATTCATTAGAAAATGATCTGTACATGTGTTTCAATTTGTAGGTTGATTGGCTTTTTAGTGTCAACAATTAGGTAGAATCGTCATCTAAAATTCTAAGAACAATTTCATTGAATACATAGTAAGCTTAAGAAAGTCTCAGAAAAAAGTCTCAAATTTTGTATATGTACGAAATATTGTAACAAATCTGGTAGGGAGTAAATTTACAGGAAGAAGCATTAGTGATCATTTATTTTTATCTTTGTTCAAAATAAGCAAGATTCAAATAAATGACCGGCCCAATTCGCTGTTTCAGAATCTAATGCATTCTAGGAAATATTTACAGAAGCGTACACCAAAACGCTGTGATAGGTTAAAAACTTTGTAAACATGGAAATTCGACCAATGCCGTCACATTATTTTCATTTCGGTGTACGAACAATTATATTAACCATAGTCCTTCAGATTCTGAAAAGGCGAATTATCGCAAAACAAACAAAATTTTTTGTCCATTAAGATGTCATGTTTTCGCAACAATTCAAGAGAGAGAGGGAGTTTAGTATACAATAAATTCATCATAGAAACAGGTATTAAAATTTTGTTCGTCAGACTCGCGTTTCGTCTAAATAAGACACATCAGTGACGCTCGATTCAAAAAAGTTAAACAGGCCAAAATGAAGTACGAAGTTGAAAAAAAGTTGAGGACCCAAAATTCCGAAAGGTTATGCTAAGTACAGCTAAAGTAATCTATTTCTGGGTATTAACAAATTAACTTTCTTTCCTGTCAAATGTCTACTGTATGGACAGATACTTAATTAAATTGTTGAATCCAGTGTGTTAACACTCTAAACATTGGAAGATTTATTTCTTTAAATGTTATTTCCTCTATTTACCTATACAAGATTAATGTTATTGTTAAGAGGGAGAACAACTGAAATGTACAATAATGGAACATTTTACCAAATTTTAAAAAAAAATTGTCATTTAAGGGCAATCACTTTTTTTGGCAGATTTTAACCTGATTGTAGATCTTGTCTTGCTGATCATTTTTGTAATTTAAAGTTTCTATCTATATATATATACCTATGTTTTAAAGTTTTCAAGATAATAGGCAAACACGTCAAAAAGGGTAAAGATCGTCATTAAAGGGCAATAACTTCAATAACCAGTCGACTGAAGAACTTGGCTATTAGACTTATTTGTAGATATTGTCTTGCTGATCACTTATGCTGTTTAAAGTTTCTATCTATCTATCGTAGTTGTTAAGGTTTTAGGCAAAAACGCCCCCCACCCCACCCCCATGTTCGGCTATGTGACTTATTTGAAGATCTTGTCTTGCTGATCAGTTTTACTGTTTAAAGTTTCTCTCTATCTATTATAGAAAATAGAAAAGCTCAAACACATCAAACGAATGGAATACAAATGTCATATTCCTGTCTTAGTACAGGCATTTCCTTATGTAGAAAGTTGCAATATATTACATTATAGAAGATGAAAATCAGTTCTTCTTTAATTTATAAAACGTATAAGGTGAATTGAGATAAAAATTCAAAAGATGCACTTGCTTTTTCGGTAATTGAAAAACATGCAAGACATACCCTAATTGGATATAACAAACCATTTTTTTGTAAATAACATATATATGGCAATTTTGGAGATAAAGTTAATTGTCAAGTGATTATATTAGCAATTAAAGGAGACTAACCATTGACATCTGATTTGCTTCTTTACTGTTCAATCTTTGTTAAAAAAGGAAAACAACACGTTATTAATTTATGGATTAACCTTCATCAGGAACATTCATAGCCGAATATTTGAAAGCCAAGGATGTGTAAGAACCTTAACAGTTGAAGAGCTGTATTACAAAAAAAGGACCTAAAAACATACCCAAATCCATCTAAGGTCAACTTTGCCTATATTTTGAACTGTATGGTGTTGTGCTGTTCCTTTATAGAATTTGTATTCATATTTGAAGGACACCTTTAATTCTATAAAATAAGGTCAGTTTTCACTACTTAATTAATATTGCACATTCCTAATAAAATACTGATGTGAATGTATTGTATAGATGATGATGTACAAATTGTCAGAAACAATGATTTCATAGTAAAATGTGCATATTTTGGAGGATTGCAACAAAATTTATTATTGCAGTCCTAAGTATGAAATCGTTCAAATTAAAATTGCATACTGTTATATATTCTAAATTGTTTCCAAACATTGATTGCCCTGAAGATCACAAAAAACATTTCTTTAAAATCAGACGTGTCAATAAAGTTTTTGATTTTATGAATATTGCCGGTATTCTTAATGACCATTCTATAAACGATCAAACTCCTGACTATTTTGACACTGAGATTCCTTTAACTTGTTATGTTTACAAAACATCTACCCGGAAATAAATTTTAGATAAAGCGAGATGTTGTAAAAATGTTATTATCAGTGACAATACACCTATGTCATGAAATTGCAGCAATTCCAAATACGTGTATAACACAGTTCCCATTTTATGACAGTAGACCTTTTCATAATCCAGGACCGAGAGTTGAAATTAATCCTTAGAAAAGGACCTAAATATCGTCCTCCATCAATTATTAAGTGGAATTAGTGTCATAACAGCATCCACGACTCACTCCATATTTACTGTATAAAATGGATAAAATGAGAAAAAAACCTGACAAAAAAGGTTACATTCTTTTTCTATTTTTTAATTCAGTAATGAAAAAAAAATGATATTCGTATTAGACATTTTGCTACATATCTAAATGAACATTTATTGTCAACTTCGACAGAATTTTACTTGAATGCCGTTGTTAAAATGTATTAAATAGCGAAACAGACGGCAGATTGCTCGAATTGCATGTGCAGTATATGTAAAACAAATCGTTTTGTTAAAAAAAAAGGTATTAAAAAGTAAATTTACAAAAATACCGAACTCCGAGGAAATTCTAAACGGAAAGTCCCTAAGTAAATGGCAAATTCAAAAGCTCAAACACATCAAAAGAATGGATAACAACTGTCATATTCCTGACTTGGTACAGGCATTTTCTTATGTAGAAAAATGGTTGATTAAACCTGGTTTTCTAGCTAGCTAAACCTCTCACTTGTATGACAGTCGCATAAATTTCCATCATATTGGCAACGATGTGTGTAAAAACAAACCGACATAATAGGTAAAAATGTCAAAAATAGGGGTACGGCAGTCAACGTTGTGTTATAATCTTAATCACTACAAAAACATGCAAATATGTCAACAAAGACAAACAAAAAGGCATATAGACAAAGCACATTAGCAAAAACGAAAGACAAGAATACAAAAATTTACCATAGCACAACAACACAATAACGGGATGTACAAGTATCGAGCCACGTCAAATGAATCACTACAAAATCAAGCAAATATGCCAACAAAGAAAAACAAAAAGGCATATTGACAAAGCACATTAGCAAAAACGAAAGAGAAGAATACAAAAATTTACCATAGCACAATAACACAATGACGGGATGTAAAAGTACCGAGCCACGTCAAATGGATATTACCAAAAATAGACTAAACAGTAAAAGTGATAATTTACAAAGACAGATAAAAGAATAATAGAACACGTTATTAAGATGATAAACAACGTCAGTACCTAGTATCTATACTTCAAGACCATCATGTATTATTTGTGAAGTTGATACGGAATATTTATCAACAAGATCATGGTATCTTCCGATGAACTTTTTTTAGAAAAAGGACGAGACGTTCTTTGACATACCCGTGGTTCATCAACTTTCTGCTTAGAAACTGGTGACGTTGAACAAAGTCTGAGTAGCAGCTGCAAGCTCTTGAATATCGAATGAGATGGGAAATGTATATCCCTTATGCAGGTGAAGTTGGTATATTGCTATTAAGATGAGGAAAATTAACAATTTCAAAATTAAAATCGTCTCGTTTGTCATAGATTCTTGTACTGAGATGACCGCTTATGTCAAATTCGAGGTAAAAGTCTAAAAATGAGGCGAATGAAGCCTGTCTGTTGTTTCTTTAATTTCTAGTTCTGGAGGTTATATTAATGGAACCCGATCAGAAAAGTTTGGATTGTTAATGGAAAGAACATCATCAATATATCTGAATGTGAAATTAAATGATCTGGCTTCTTTGATCTTCTTGTTTTTGACAAGTGTCTGAAGGAACTCATATGAAAATAAAAAAAGGTCTGCAAGGAGAGGCGCGCAGTTCGTTCCCATAGGAATGCCGACAATTTGTTGAAAAAGTCTACCTCCAAATTCAACAAATATGTTGTCAATAAGAAACTCCAGCATACTGATCACTTGTTCCTCTGTGTAGCATGTTTTATAATTTTTTGTTGACTATTAACAAAATATGCCGTATGGTATCCTAAAGTAATAAAAGACAACTAAAAGAGAAATACAACGATGACTCAATTGAATGTAATGTCTGTAAAGCTTTTTTCAAGCGCAAAGTTTTATAAGGCACATCTGTTACAATGTTCTACAAAGGAAAGTGAATATGATGCTAGTAACAATAATTTATGAAATTTCATCATTTAATTCACATGTTTCATGATATTTAATTGGAATTAACAGCAAGAAAATGTAAAAAAGTAGAAAATGATGAACAAGTAAGTAAGCTTAAATTATCTGACCGTATAATAAGTTATAAAATGTTATATGTAGAAAACATCTGTAATTTTTTTTCACTTCTTGCAAGGGGATAGGAGCAAAACATCATGGCTTTGTCTGTTCGTAAAAACTAAACAAACCTACACTAAAATTTAATATAACCTTGATTTACAGAAAACATAAATATTCTAATTGCAGAATTGTTTATCATATTGCGTATTTACCAATTTAAGGGGCCTCGGTGGCCGTGTGGTCTAAGTAGTTATTACTGTAATTACTAGCCAGTCAACACTGAGGTTTTAAGTTCAAACCTGCTCGTGCGGGTGCTCTCCAATCTGAATTGACTAAGGTTGTCAATTTTCCTATCAAAGGTCGACGGTTTTCTCTAGGCACTCCGGTTTCCACCTCTTACAAAAATTGGCCACCACGAAATAGCTCAATGTACTTTAAAATGGCGTTAAAACACCAATAATCAATAAATATTTACAATTTTTTATCGCCATATTTAGCTTTGCACTGAATATTTTTAATACAGCATTATTTATTTCTTATTCTACATCTAATAGAAGTGATTTGCATAATTTTTTCAGGATTTCCATGCAGTTTGGTATCAAACAGTGATAATTTAAGTAACATTTTAATCATGATTATGGTCAGTATTACATAGTATATCACTGGATTGAGCTTTCTGTTTAAGTTTAGTTTTTAAAATTTAGCTGAGTTTATTGTTATGCATGTACATTCTGTATGGAATAAAGATATTGAAACAGCCCACCCATATCTACATAATCTATATATAGATCTCTTTAACAACTGTCTGCACATAGTACTTACATTAACTGTTCAATGAGATTAAAGCATAAAGCATTACATTAACTGTTCAATGAGATTTAAGCATTTCGTTTCCATATGAACCTAATATTCTTTGTCTCCCAGACAGCCAAATAAAGGAAAGCATGATTGAATACACAAAACATGCTTATTGCAATAATGTATGATGCCAGGTGTTTTTGACACACAGGTTAACCATATGTACTGCCTACTAAAGAGTCCCCAGTACAAATGGTCATTCATTTATGCATCATATTTATATAAAGGGACGAAACTCACAAGGCCTTACTGACTTCTAAAAGTAAATTACATTGTTTAACTTACTTGTTAAATCTAAATTTGAGGTTATATAATGACAGCACTGCTCTATTTGTATTTCATGATGTAAAAACTGTATGTTTCTATTTTCATCTGCACTTTCCTTCGAAGTTCACTATTTATATCTTTCTCCACAAAATAATTTTTTTAAAACGATGTTGATTATGCAATAATTTTTTGCATTTCAAATTCAGTCAAATATTTTGGTCATAATACCAAATTTTTATTTTTCATTTTTCATTTTTTCTACTAGAAATCTATAACTAAGTACAAATAAATTGAATTTACCATTTTATCAAAAGTAATTTTATATTGGAATAAAAAATGTTGTATACTTTCAACCAGGACTTGAGAATCTAGGCAGAAAACATTTCCAGACATACAATAAAATAATAGTTTCTGCACCTACAATGTATTAGCTCACCTAGCTTTAAAGGGTTATGTGAGATATTGCCATTACGTTTGATAAATCGTCTGACAACTTTTCATATTTAAAAATTAATAATTTAGTTTTGGATGAAACACGTCTTTTGATTAGCTGAAAGTTTTTTGTCTATCAGCTCATAGACATAATTTTGTCATGTGACCATGACGTCATCAATGTTTTTTCATGTGGCACTCCTTAAAATGGAATTTAGAATTAAATTATAAGGAATGACTGTAACATTTTTCTGTCTATTCGAAATAACATCAAAAATGTGGTGCACACTTTTAAATAGCCCGCTACGCGGGTTATTCAGTGTGCACCACATTTTCAATGTTATTTCTTCATAGACAAAAAAATATTACAGTCATTCCTTCAATATTGTTGATTTTTATAAACCTTGAACAAAAAAGAAATAAATGAAATTAAAAAAAAATATATTATATATTGATTAATAAATTCTAACCTGATAATTATGAGATTTCCCAAAGTTCAGCACTTCTTTATTTAAGGAAATAAAATGCAGAACTATCAAGCATAGTTGTTTATAAGAATGAACCCATTTTTTACCATCTTTTTATCGAGGAAAACATATGCTTATCTATAGCTTAATTAGACCATAAATTTTCCAGCTTAAGGCAAACGTCAACCTTCAAGGGATCAAATAATATCCCTTAAAACAAATAAAGTATAAAACCAACTTAGTGACTTTGAGATGAAGAACAGCATTGAAAGCGCTGCTCCTTTGCTTTCTTGGTTTTTTTTTTGCTGAGCATGTACTGATTTTGTGTCATGGATGGATACCCATTTCATTTGGGTTTTTATTAGTTATTAATACTAAAACTCATCAATGCATGGTCACGAGGAAACAGGAACTTGTAAATCATAAGTAAAATATGAGAATTTGAGTCAAACAGACAGCCAATGCCCCTTTAAGGGATATAGTAATATTTCCCAAATCAATATGTTGTTTTTGTATTCACTGTTCTCACTGTAAAACTCCACCTGAAAAGATTCCTGACTCACGACAGGCACAGTAACATGTTATGGGTTCATTGTGTGTTGCACAATACAACATACCAACTCAATAATATCATAATTTCTATACAACATAAAACACAACTTCAAGTAAAATTATACTGAACAATTCGTTTTAATGAATACTCAGGTTCCTAGAAACTTAAGAATTAAAGAATTTCACCATATATGGCTTCTATTTATTAAAAACAATACATATATACATTTTTATAAAACTTACCGAATAAATGCCAAGTTTTTCGTTTTCCCATTTTGCACAGTCCATTAGTCTTATCTGATCCAAGACCAATGAAAAGATTAAACAGAGCATCACTTACTTGCCCTATCAACAGTAATAGTCCTGCAGAAATATCATTGAATTCTTTCACTTGGCTAAGATAGATTATCAAATAACTTAACCACATAGATTGAGTTAGATCATTGAGAAAATGGCCAATGCTGAATGCAAGTCGCTGAGACAATGGAAGTTTCTGGATTGATGAAGACGTGTGCATTCCGGATCTCTGATACAAAGTTTGAGCTCCTTAGTTTTAAAAATGAGAATAAATATTTGTTCTGATTTGTTGTTGACGATTTCGATCAAATTAATACCTGTAAATTACAAATACAAAATTAATGTAAATATTCGATTAAATAACGTTCCTATCTTTTTGGAAAACTTTTTTGCATAAGTTGATATCTAGATGGAGAAGCAAACAGTTTTTTTTTTCTTGGGGGGGGGGGGGCTTTTTGGGTCAAACATTTCAGTCCCTCAAGTAAAATAACTAAGACTGTGCTACCAACATGAACTAAAACAATATGTTATTATTTTCGACTTTTTGTCCCTTTAGTATCCTTCGCCTCTCTTTTACCATAGGGTCGGAGTCCGAATACTGTATATAAAGGAGATGTGTATAGGTAGGATGACATGTCTTTATTCGGACTTACTTTATGAACACGTTAAATATCAAGCGTGTCGGTCTTGTATGAAGCATGTTTCATATTCATGTTCTCGTCCTGAATATGCATTTAATTTCCTGCTGATTTGATATCAAAATTCTCTGTGTCACCTACATGGTATCATTAAAAAAAAATGTGAACAATACTTAATACAGATTAAATGAAGTTTGATATGAATTACTTTTATTGGAATATGAAACTTTAATTAGGGATTCAAGGTAATTTAAATGTTGCTTAGTTTTCATTTTTCTATGTTATGTACTATTATTTGTCTGTTTTTTTTTTTTATTTTTTAGCCATGGCGTTGTCAGTTTATTTTCGATCTATGAGTTTGACTGTCCCTCAGGTATCTTTCGCCCTTCTTTTAAACTGTTCCAAATGAGTTTTTCAAAATCATTCCTTTTTTCTTTAACAATCGGGGTGAACGTAATGATAAAAACTTTGTTTGAAGTTGATTAATGAGATCACCAATTCAATCTAAGGAAAAACATTAATTGGGATGTAAGTTAATAAAATTTAAAAAAAAAATTGACATAGTCGATACAATATCACTCTTGAAAACGTCCCATTGCGAACTACAGTTAATATATTGAATTAAGTCAAACGCTTGTCAGTTGTGATAGTCTTATTTTGTTCTTTTTTAAACATTCTCCCTTCAGTATACACAATTATGGTTTCTGTTTAAAATGAAAATAATCATATGATTAGGATAAGATGCTAAACTTTTTGAGTTTTAAAAACGGTTTCAAAGAAATGACTTCACTAGATTCAAAAGTGTGAAAGTGCAGATATATCGCAAGTATGCCTCATTTAAAAAGGATATTGGAGTTTGCTGATTAACTAATTATTTCCTCACGTAGTACCATTCCCTAATAAATATTCAGTTATGCAGATGACAGAATGAAAAAAAACTTTAACTAGCAACCTAAAATGAAATACGCGTATTTTGACCAAGTTAAAAAGACACAAGTTACAAGGGGAAAGGAGCATTGCGATGTACGAGTCTCAAATCATCACACTGTTTCTATTAAAAAAAAGCAATTTAGCACCCATTTGTCTTATAATCGAAGAAATCAAAGTGTTGGAAAAGATATCATAGACATTCATCTAAGGCATGTCTTTTTAGCCCTCTTACTTTTACATTTGGTTGATCAGTTCTTCAACGTTTGTATTAGGTTCTCAATTTTCAAATGTGTTGGCCTCGAGCATCACTGAATAGACTTTTATTATCAATATGCAGTCCAGTTTAATGATAATTTTCCAACAAGTATATGTATCAAAAATATATCTTGGAAAACATATCACAATGTGTTTTTTTTCACCATGAGTATGGTATGTATATCACATTGTATAGTGTCACAATGTACAAAAAAATATATCAGTTTAATTAACATATGTTTAAAAATATGTTTTCTTAGCCAATGTTATTTTACCCCTACCATTGAAAATTGAAAAATTGAAAAATAATACTTTTATTGAGGTGATGTAGCTATAAAAACGTACTAGACTGTAAAGTGTGCACGGAAATCGATAGCATACATTTTGTACAGTAAAATAAAAACAGGAAACTTGTGAAGTAAAATATTACCCACCCTTTTCTATCAAAAACATAGTTTGTATTGAAAACAACGCTGTAATATAATCGTTGTAACAAATACTTAAAGAGGTGCCTGTATTTCCCTTTTTTCTTCATATTTTTATTGAAATATATTTATACATGACTGAATGCTTAGTGATGTGCATAATGCAAAGTACGTTGAAATGTCATGTAAAGATACATGTATGCCTGTTGTTGAAAATATTGATATTGACGATCCCAACACTGTTATTACTAAATATAAGTTGGAAAATGATAAGTACCGTGAATTTAATGATTGTATAGATGAATGTGTTATTCACTCAATTGCTGTTAAACTTGAAGAAATAGCTACTGATCAAATAGATAGTATTGTTATTAATTCAATAGTTAATGAATGTAATTCTTTAACTTTACAGGCTGCATCAAAGTGTGGTTTGTTATCAGTGAAAAAAGGTCAGTAGAAGGGTTAATAATTCTTTAATGAAAAGAAAGGTTAAGAAACCATGGTTCAATAGAGATTGTGATGATAAACGCAAATTGCATCATAGAGACAAATGCTATAACTGGAGGGTTAAAACTGCTGAAAGCAAGATAAATTTAACAAGGTGTAGTAAAGAGTACAAAAAAGTTTATGTAATCAATATAGATTGTATAATAACATTTTTATTAAAAAGTTAAGAAATCTCAGACAAAATGATTGAAAATCATACTGGGACTTACTGAACAGAGTATGTAGCTCTCAGACTAAACAGGATAATGTTAATAAAGTGTCTCTTGATTGATTTCATGAATATTTTAGGTAATTGAACTCTGTCCAAGATGAAAATGATGATACATTTAAAAATATTTATGTAGAAAATATTAGAAATTTGAATACTGAACTAAATAGAGCGGTATCAGAAAATGATGTGAGACAAGCTATTAAGGGGTTGAAAAAAATTAAAGTCTGTCGAAATGATTATTATTATTAATGAATTTTTGAAGCATTCTGCTGATAAAATGTTACAGTTTTTGTTTCTTTGTTTGATATTTTTTTTAATTCTGGTTGTATACCAGACCCTTGGTCTGAAGGTATTATTGTACTTATATATAAATGTAAAATGAGACACCACAAGTCACGATAAATACCGGGCATAACAGTTCTTAGCTGTTTTGGTAAATTTTTCACATATGTGTGCTGAATAATAGACTTAATTGTTATTTAGACAATTGTAATGTACTCTACGAAGAGCAAACAGGCTTTAGAAAGCATTATGAAACTACTGATCATATTTTTAATATGAACTGTTTGATGATGTAACAAAAAGTAAAATAACAAAAATACAGAACTCCAAGGAAAATTCAAAACGGAAAGTCCTATATCAAATGACAAAATCAAAAGCCCAAACACACCAAACGAATGGAAAACAACTGTCATATTCCTGACTTGGTACAGGCATTTCCTTATGCAGAAGATGGTGGATTAAACCTGGTTTTACAGCTAGCTAAACCTCTCACTTGTATGACAGTTATATAGAATTCCTTTATATTGACAACAATGTGTGAGCAAAACAAACAGACATAACAGGTAAAAATGTCAAAATTTGGGTACAGTAGTCCAAACTGTGTTATAACCTTAATCACTATAAAACAAATAACTGGTTCAACAAAGAAAAAAAGGCATATAGACATGGTACATAAGCAAAAATGTAAGACAAGAATACAAAAATGACCATAGCCACGACCAAAAGTATATTACCAAAAATGGACTAAACAGTAAAAGTTAAAAATATATACAAAGACAAATAAAAAGAACACTAAAACACATTATTAAGATGGCAAACAACGTCAGTACCTAGAATCTATACTTCAAGACCATCATGTATTATTTGTGAAGTTGATACGGAATATTTATCAACAAGGTCTTGGTATCTTCTAATAAACTTTTTTTTAGAAAAAGGACGAGACGTTCTTTGACATAACCCTGGTTGAACAACTTTCTGCTCAGACAGTGGTGACGTTTTACAAAGTCTGAGTAGCAGCTGCAAGCTCTTGAATACCGAATGAGTTGGGAAATGTATATCCCATATGCATGTGAAGTTGGTATAATGCTGCTAAGGTGGGGGAAATTTATAATTTCAAAATTAAAATCGTCTCGTTTGTCATAGATTCTGGTACTGAGATGACCATTTATGTCAAATTCGAGGTATAAGTGAAAAAAAATGAGGCGAAGGAAGCCGTGTCTGTTGTTTCTTTAATTTCTAGATCTGGAGGATATATTAATGGAACCCAATCATAAAGTTTTGGATTTTTAATGGAAAGAACATCATCAATATATCTGAATGTGAAATTAAATGATCTGGCTTCTTTGATCTTCTTGTTATTGATAAGTGTCTAAAGGAACTCTGACTCATATGAAAATAAGACGAGGTCGGCAAGGAGAGGCGCAGAGTTCGTTCCCATAGGAATGCCGACAATTTGTTGAAAAAGTCTACCTCCAAATTCAACAAATATGTTGTCAATAAGAAACTCCAGCATACTGATCACTTATTCAATCTAATGCACAATTCCTTTGTAGAACATGCTAGATGAACCTGCAATGTACCGTTGTTTGTACGGAATTTTGTGAATCGTAGGTATCCAATACAAACAAAGTAAGTCCTCATATTTGCTGTTGAATGTAATGTTCATTGAAGCCATGATAGACTTATGATTAGCCAAAATCTCATCCTTGTCAAATGATATGTTTTTGTACGTGGGATTACCTGAGTATTCATTTATTCCTAATTCTTTTACAAGACACTCGTAATAGTACAATTTACATACAAATACAATTTTATTTGAGGCTTTTTTCGCGCAGGAACAGCAACATATTTATCGTGAAGAGATGATAGACATTTCACCGCTTCTTTGTCTCTAAAAACGGACTTTGGTCGGTCATTCCCTCAGTTTTTCAACATATGAATGCCACGATTTTTCAAAAACCTGATTGTTTTGACCCATTCTGACTAAGTGTCTAGTTCAACTTCTTCTTGTTAGCTCATCCTCTGACGTAGTTTTCAATGGAATCAATAATTATTATGAAGTTATGGTTCCAATTGATGTGTTTGGGTTCTCTGAACTTAGGACCGTGAGATACCACATTTCGGAGATGTTCATGTTGAATTATGTTTAGATCCCCAGTAATAACATGGCCAGAAGGGCTGTAAATATAAGGCGAGTGGAGGGGGTCTCAACATGGGATTTCAACCCCTCCTTCATTCATATATTGATAATCACAACCCATAAATATATTCCATGGCAAACTCGACCGATTCATGATATATCTCAGTTATCACATATACACTTTCAATTTTTTTGACATCTTAATTTGAATTTGATATACAACGGTAAAACAAAGTTTATATAAAAATCTGATTAGCAGGTCTATCTATAGGGTACCTTTATATAGGAAGAGATCCCCCTTGCTCGAGTTGGAAAACGTTTTAAGGCCTAGCATTTATCAGATGTAAATGTTGAATGCATTTTGTGTTCCAGATATTTATATTCTTTTGGATTTTGATGGGCATTTACTGACTTTGTGTCAGGATGGATACCCCATGTCCTTTGTTTTTCTATTATTTACATATTTTGTTTAATCCAGATGTTGCCGATATTGATAATAAATATTTATCAGAAATCAAATAAAATGATTTTAAATTTGGTTTTATAAATCAACTAGTGCACCATTAGCGAAAATATTATGTATACGGGTATTTAAAGTTTTAAAATAATATGCATTTATATTCTTAAGTTTCACAAAGAATTTAAACCATGCACTCTTTTGATGATATAATTAATGTTGGGTCCATTGTCTCTTTCTTTTTTGAAGTTAAATAATTCTTCAAATTCTTCATGACAGCTGTTATCACATTAGATATAAGTTAACATCAGATGAATTAACACCTTTTAACGTTCATTTTGAAGTAAAAGAATATATTGTATATAAAAAAAAAATAAAACCCAGTTTTAATTTCGTAGATAAGATATAATATTCAGTTAAAGTAGGATATACACTTTTAGATCTTGACCTTGTGAATGAAACAAAGATTTGTTTTTATTTTCAGTTAGTGGTACATGTTACTTAAACATGTGATTTTATTTTAGTGATTTATAAATATCAGTAATCACCTATTGAAGTGACGTTGATGTTTCCGTTCCTTTGATCTTTGAATACAGATTTCATGAAATATGTACCAAATGACAATTTGGCTGCAATTTGCTTACATAGATTAATGATCCCTTTCTGATTTATATTTCAATTGTGCACAAGGCCAGTAAATTAGTGTGTTAAAGCTTTAAAAGGTATCCTCAGATATTTTCTTGTAATTAAACATTTGTAAATACTCGAACATTAAGAAACAGATTTCTTGAAAATTATCAGTCAGAATCAAATTAGAAATGTCTGACAAATGTTTTTACTATGTCAGAACAAATGTCTGACAAATGTTTTTACTATGTCAGTCCAAATGTCTGATAAATTTTTTTACTATGTCAGTCCAAATGTCTGACAAATGTTTTTACTATGTCAGTCCAAATGTCTGACAAATGTTTTTAATAAGTCATTCCAAATATATGACACAAATGAGTGAATATTTCCTTGTATCAAAGAATTCCATGGACTGATGAAAATATATTTTGAACTGACAAATTTTCACACAGTGCCTGTAGAAATGTCCCGTAAGCAGGCATGGGGCAAAGCACATTGCAATATAATGCATTACATTACAATTACTTGGACAAAACCAGCATTATATTACAATTACAATTACATGTATTTTGGAAAGTAATGCATTACATAACAATAACTTGGACAAAACCAGCATTATATTACAATTACAATTACATGTATTTTGGAAAGTAATGCATTACATAACAATAACTTGGACAAAACCAGCATTATATTACAATTACAATTACATGTATTTTGGAAAGCAATGCATTAAATTACAATTACTTTACCAAAGTAATGCATTATATTACACATTACATTTTATAAATTTAATTATCAGAAGAAACATACATAAAACATTTTATACTGCAATCTTGGCAACTATTAAATAGATATTATAAAAATCCTTCCATTGCCCTATAGACCAAATGACAGCAGTCAAACGAATGTGATCAGTTTCCTGAAGGTTATTATACAATTTTTGGCATACATCCTTGGCCTTAGTCTGTACAAATTTACATGAGATATGTTTCCGGCTTGGAATTTGAAAGTTTGGGTTAAGATTTTCTATAAATTTCTTAAAAATTTCCTTTCAACTGTTGAAAATGAGAGTAAATCACTTCTAGCAATATACTCGAAAAGTGAATCAATAGCTTTGTTTTGCTTTGGGTCATTTAATTGATATTTCTGAATACCAGATGGATTTACAAAGTTTGTCAAGGTTGATAGTTCTTCTGGGTCAGGCTTTTATATTTTGAAGTATACTTCTCTGTGTTTTCTCATAAAAGAAATAACAGAAATGTTGTAAGGAATTTATTCTAGCATTTTGTTTTTTTGATCATATTATTAACTTAATCTCAATGTTAATTAATTCTTTAAAATCACAAATTCACTTATCAAAAGAAAGGAATTGATTGCTATACAAACTAATTTGTGGTTTTTGAGAGGTGTCAATTATCAGTCATTCAACTTATTTCTTTCATGTTTAAATATCATGTATTGGTTTTTCAATGACTATAATGTTATATGAAAATGGCTGCAAATAAAAAACAATTTTACTTTTGTATGTTTAAAAATGGATCTGTTTTAAATATTAGTATAAATGTTTTAGTATTAAGGTAAGCAAGAAATATTTTCAAGAATCCAAAGAAAGAGGTCAACAATTTTAGGTAACCTGATTTTAATTTTTAGAATGATTAACTTCAAGATTTTGTCCTCAATTACAAATTATTCAGGTTTATGTTTAATTCAAATAAACTATCAAAGCTAAAATATATTCTATGCAAAAGAAAATTTCTACATATATGTAATGGTTTTTAGCTTATTTTTTAACCCATAAAAAGATAATGCCTGTGATTTTATAAATATCAAGAACAAGTTATTATTACTTACTTATATGGTCTGAGGACACCGTTATTGTATTTTGAATTTTCGTTGTTTACAAATATAGTCCCTAGTGCATTGTAGAGTAAACAGTTATGACTTGCAAATTATTTCTTTTCATACACGTTCAAAATTAATTTCTTTAAATTGTACGCATGAAATATAAGTAGAGGGATGAAATTACATTTTTAAATATTTTAAGAATGAACTTTTAGGTAAAGTAGGGATTTGTTCTAGTTTAAAAAGGTAAAAAATTAGTATGTCATGTATGTCTGAAACTGTCAACCTGAACATGCCGAATGAAAGACCCCCTTAAAATAGAATTGTCCATATTTTGAGTTAGAGCTGGTAGACTTTTCTATAATTTTTATATGATTTGTCTCAAAAGTTGTACTATACACTGAAAAAATCTTTTTGAGATAGACCAGGTACTATTTTTTAAATTTGAATTTATAGTCTAAAAGAAATGCACTACGAAATAACTGTGTCCTCGGGCCTAAGAGATGAATTCAGTAAATGTAGATTCTGTACTTTAGCAACTTCCCTGAATGGTTTGCTGGTATCAATTTATCAAACTGAAAAAGATAAAACTACAGAATTTACATCTTTATTTGATAGAAATTCTGTAAAAATGTCCAACTTTGACTTTATATGGCTAGATAAAGCATTCCATTTTTATGCCTAAGAGGCATGCTGACTTTCTATCTGACAGGTGTTTACGTTTTGATATTCGTGTTACTATGCTTAATTCAAGTTTCATAAATCATTTGCGATCTCTGAATCTAGAGAAAATTGAGAAAATTAGATAATCACAGAACAAAATGTACAAAATGTGTCGTATTTGTGGTCCTGGTCGAACGGCCTATTTGATGGATGACAAATGTGAGGATCTTTTTCATAAAAGTTGAAGTCAATCAGAAATGATTAAGTAAATCTGTTAAAAAAACCCACTTTATAATGATAAGTGCACCTTAGTCATTTCATATGCTACCTTTATTTTCTTCTGTAGAATAGTAAGTGGTTCAAATATTTGCCTTTTAATACTAAAATTTCATGCAAATTTTCCACTAAAAAGTATAAAAAAATGTCCATCAGACCATACTGTTTGCTAAAAAAGTTGAATACAAGAGTTCTTTTGCACTCAGACTTCTTGTATGATGACATCTTAGTATAGAAATGAGCAAAAAGTAACAAATTTCTATTTCTTATAGCTTCTGCATTTTTATATGTATTGTAAATATGTGTTGCAGCCTAAATTGATCCGAAGTTAAATTCAGTCGTACACATGTTACATGGCCTAAGACCATTTTATACTGATGTGGTATGCTTTTTGTAATTTTTCCCCATTTAAAGTACATTAAATATATATGAAAGAATAATTTATAATAAAAACACAGTGATTTCTAAAATTTTAAATTGGTGGCCAAAAACATATGTTTATATACGGCATTCCTTCATTCGAAATTCGAAATCTCTATATTCAGGCACAAGCTCATATGAATTTGACTATTGAATCATTGTAATAAATCTAATACATCAAATGAGCAAAAATGATCAGCGAGACAATATCTACTAATAAGATACAATGGCGGAAATCTTCAGTCGACTTGTTATTGCAGTTATTGCCCTTCATGATGATATTTAACTTTTTTTTTAACATTTTTGACCTATTATCTTAAAAACTGTTATCGATAAATAGAAACTTTAAAAGGAAAAATTATCAGCAGAATAAGATCTACAAATATGTTAACATCACTGAATTCAATTGTCAGTTATTTCTAAATAGAGTAATGCCCTTTAATGATGATTTTTAATAAAAGTGGCAATTGTTTAAGATACAGGTGAGCGATACAGGCTCTTTAGTGCTTCTTGTTTTATGCTGGGGGCTTATCTTAGCTTACTATATAGTATAGGTTTTGCTCAGTGTTTAAGGATGTACTTAGGTGAAATTAAAAAATCTAGAATTCAAAATTGATACTATAAGTCAGAAGAGCATTAGTTAAGGAACAAAATAAAAATATTGATAGGTTATGGAGCTCCTTTTCGAGATATTTAATTAAAAAAAAATGTCGGGAAAAGGCTGACTCGGACTTTTACCTTATATTTGCATTGGTATTATTTGGGTCTCAAATCGAAAGAAAAGAAATCTAGAATCTGCTTAAATTTGGGTAAATGACTATTAATGAGCTATTGAAGTCTTATATGACAATAAAAATGGGTGTTATGGGGCAAAATATTTTACCGTGTATCGTAGGAAAAAAACCAAGGAGTCCGAACATCTGACAAAAATTCCTAAACCTGACCTTAATACTTCCTTAAGGCAGTACAGTGGCATATATTTTGCTTACATCCACATCCTTTGGTCTCTAGTGAATAGTTATCTTATCAGCAATCATACCAAATTTCCTTGTTTTTATATTGATGACTTGAATGCAATGTATTACGAGTTAAAAGAGGTTTTTGGTTTTTCTGTGTTGTTATGTTAATGTCTCATTGATGTATACCACTTGTCTCCTTATATTCATATTCATATTGGATTTGAAAAAATACTAGAAGTACACGGTCTATACTTTCATGCAAAGGGTTTCGAAAAGAGTGTCATTAAATCAAAATTATGTTTTCAAAGTTATGATAGAAATAAAATACAAAAATATAGAACTAAACGATAATCATCTTTGCTTGGTTTTAACGCTTTAATGTACATTTGATAACCATACATGTATTATAAGTTAATGAAAGTATTGAAATTTTCATTAATCAATATCTACTTGTCCGATTTGGACTTTTTTTTGTATAAACATGATATATAATATTTAGTAAACAATATTATGAGGTTTCTTATGTAGTTTTTTTCAGTTTTTCTAAGATCCTGTAGCCCTTTTCACAAAAAATCTTAAGTGTAAAATTAATCTTACGATAAAAATATTTAGTTGAATTGTTAACAAATATTTTAGACTTACGATAAATTTTACACTTAAGATATTTTGTGAAAAGGGCTCCTGGATCAATTTATTTAAGTACCAAATAAATTGAAATGAAACAAAATTAACAATAAAATATGTGTTTTCATATTCACACTTTCAGCTGAAGACAAAATGCTATATACATATATCCGTCCATCTACATTGTTCTATTATGTATAAAAACAATTTATTAAGTTCTTTATCTGATTGAGCAATTCATAAGTTCGGTCGTAATCACATGTAGTAATTTTAATAAAACGAACTAAGGACTATTTCAGTGACGCGGTCAAAAGGTAAAATTTCAAATGAACGACTAAGATTTCTTTAAAGTGTCATATCATTATTTTTTATTTAGATCATGTTGTTCTATTTGTGTTACATAAGGAACTGTTGTTCAAGCAAAGGTATATTACGACATTATTAAGACAGTTTAGCTTAGCGAATGTATAATTCATGTTGATACTTTGAATCGAATGATGGTTAAAATGTTCATTAATAATTGATATTAAAAAAAACCAAAATAAATGGAAAACAAACAAAATTAATAATAGAAGATGTGTTTTCATATAAACAATTTCATCTGAAGACAAAATGTCACATACATATATCCGTCCCTGTACAATGTTTGATCATGTTTTAAAAAAATCAAGACCTTTGGTAGAGGAATTCCTATGTTCGGTCGTATTCACAGGTAATAATTTTAAGTGAACGAATGAAAAACTATGTCATGTCTCAATCAAAAGTTAAATTTTTAAATACACGATTTAGATTAATATATGGATTAAATATTATAATTTTGATTTAAATCTTTTCGTTCTACTTGTTTTACAAAAATTCACGTAAACATGTAAGAGCATAAACATCTTTATCTAAATATAGATCATGAATTATGAATGCAAGTAATATCATATTGGCTCGAAAAATATTCCGAACTACTACCGTCTAAAGTATCTAAAGAATTCATAATTAAAGGTATTAAATTTATCCTTGAAAACAACTGCTTTCGTGAAAAGCATTTTAGGCAAACTTAACAGTAATCGGCACAACATTGGCTTCGTCATATGCGACCCTTTTACTTCACTGCTTAGAAATAATTTTATACAATAAAGAAGAAGTGGAATTCGGATCTGATTTAAAAAAACCCATGGAAACTAGTTTCGAAAAGATTTCTTGATGTTTGCATCATCCTACAGAATAACAGCAATGACGAACTACAAAAGTTTCACTAGCTCTTAAATAACTTACACAAAGACATAAATTCCATGCACTGTAGAGAAAAGCATTGAAATACAAATCAGTAAAAGTATCTGCTGATATAGATTACAACCTTCGGATACAAAACAATATATATGATGTATAGTTCATTCCATCTACGGCACATTAAAAACATTCAATAAACCATTCAATTTAGCAATACGAATATGTACTATGTTTCAGATGAAACGACTTTACATGTGCGTTTGTTTTTAGTCTTTTTTTTATTCATATAGCTCGTCAACTGGTTCGGTTCTTCTACATCATTGGCTTTCAATATTTGGCTTTGAGCGTTCCTATTAAAGGAAAATCCAAAAAAAGCGCTCATGACGCATGAACTTGATAAAATGTTGTTTTCATTTTAAAACCGAACTAAAATGTTTTGTTTAAGTTGGCATTATCTCGAAAAATTATCAACAATGGAATAGGGAATGCAAGATCAATTGCAAAATAAGATCTGAGAAAAGCTGTAAGAAACTAATAAAACAAGTATAATACCATATGTTTCACCTTTCAATCCAAAGAAGCCAGAAATTTTCTTCGGTGCATTTACAAAAATTCAGACCGATCATCAAATGAGCACTATACTTACGAAATAATTCAGACCGATCAATTGATGAACACTATACTAACGAAATAATTCAGACCGATCAATAAATGAACACTATACTTAAGAAATAATTCAGAATATGTACTATGTTTCAGATGAAACGACTTTACATGGGCGTTTATTTTCAGTTTTTTTTTATTCATAAAGCTCTTGCATTCTCTATTCCATTGTTGGTTAATTTTTCGAGATAATGCTAACTAAAACAAAACATTTTAGTTCGGTTTTAAAACTATCACACATCTAATTAAATGGGCATTTAAAAAGTCGGAATGCGAAT